AGAGAAGACACAGAGACCAAAAAAAATGTTTGCCTGACTTTTCTTCCAGTCTGTCCTGCTGTGATCAGCAGACCAAAATAACTGCTTGACTGGATATTTGGGCGGTGTATATTTTAGCGGATTTTCTAAAAGTGTGAATGGATATTTTAGCGGGAACTTAAGTGGACATTTTAGCGAAAAAAATGGTTACCTGTAGAAAATCAATGGACATTTTAGCGGAATTACATCCTTCTAAAAATCTTACTTCCATCTCCCCATTGGTGAGAAAGGTGCAGCAGACAGTCTGAGTGACAGAAGAATTATATATATCTATTTGACAAATCTTCCGCTAAAATGTCTACATTCTATTTTAAATTCTGCTAAATTGTCCTATAAATCTTTCCCTTAAGTATCCACAAATTCTCCACTCAAACTTCCATTTTTAAGGTAAAAATGTTCTGTTAATCCGCTAAAATATACAACGCCGGAACATTGATTCGTATACACTCCCTTCTTTATTATAACTCACTTTAAAAACTGATTTCACAGTCCCTATATGCTGTGTAGGAGACATTTCTACGTGACAGGTATCTAATGTATTTATGTTCATTAACCTTTTAGTTTGTAAATTAAAAGCGAAAAGGTTATGGAAGTGTATCTAATGACTTTCAATCGTCATTAATGTGGTTAAATTTACAACAGAGATGTGTCAAAATGACGGGCCTTACTAAATTCATTGTTTATAAATGTCCTGAACTAGAGATACCTGTTTATTGAAAAGGTCTATTGATGAATGTGCGAGTCGTAATCATGACTTTTTTGTTGGTATAGTTTTAATTTCTAAAAATATGAAAGGAACACGTTTGATGGTAGACGTAGATTTGGAAACAAGATATAAAAATTATGCCTGTTAAATATTATTTTGTATTGCAATGTGCATTTATTTATATGTATATATATATATATAGAGAGAGAGAGAGAGAGAGAGAGAGAAATTTTGAACCCCCAAAAAGACTCCTTTTGGTGTGATTCGATCAAAATTTACAAGTCGCCATGTTTAAATTTTATAGTATTCTAGCGTGTTCTAATCAATTAGGACACATTTGTCATACTAGTGCACAGATTTAAATTGACCAGTTCTATGTTTGCTAGAAGATGCAAGTAGATGTACCATTTAAATTCAACGATTACACTTTTTAAAATACATGTTCATTCTTCTAATAACGAGTGTACAAGTTTTGTCTAATAGCATTATTGAAACAAACACTTAGGACCATGTTAAGGTAGTCCGATCCTCAGGTTCTGAAAATCAGTTGTTGAGTAATTGAAAATGCTCACAAAAACGTTTCTGAATTCACAAATTAATGTGTACATGTATTTACCCATTGGATTTCTTCAAACTTCATCATTATAGTTTATCATATTAGATAGGGAAAATTATCAAACCTTAAATATATTTTAATGAAAGCTAATAATTTTCTAATTGCAAATTGATCAACAAATTTATTATAGAATAAAAAATGTTTGATATCCAGACATTCAGAAAAAAAATTGCATGTGTTTTATACTTATACGGTATTTAACTTCTTCTATTTTCTTCTATGGTTATATAACACATAGTGTAAAAACCTTGTCCATCATTTGAAGACATCACAGTTCACGTACGGATATATATTTAATCGCTGTGGTAATATTTAGAAATTTATTTCAAAATTAAGGATTATCTCCCTCATGCATAGCGCTTATCCTTTGATTTATTTGGCTCCAGTCTTTGGGACTTTTTTTCAGCACTTCCAATTCTTTTTATTTAAATATTTTGGATTCCCAACCTTTCGGCTTGAGCATCACCGAAGAGACATAATTTGTCGAAATGCGCATCTGGTGCATCAAAATTGGTACCGTATATGATTTACATTCTGATGTCATATTATATGATATAATATCATTTCATATCATATCATGCTAATAAGCATTGTTATCTAGATTAAAGGAAATATTTGATTTCTCTAAAAATGTATTTATTTTTGTACTTTTATGGGGTACAAATGTCAACTTTTAACAGTACAGTTTCTTAGACTTTAAAGAACCTTGAATCATATTGACATGCATGAAATGAACATTGTTGCACGAAACGATTTTAATTTAAAGCTTTATTTTGAGACTTTTTAATTAAATTCACTAAATTTAAGAGATAGCCTTCCTGCCTGAGAAGCGGATATCGTTAAGTGTAAAATATGTAGATTCTAGTCTCTTGGCATTCGATAAAAAGAGCAATAACTCGAGTAACTGAAATGGATCTCTGGAAATCATAGCGCTCACAGTCAGGCTCCGTGGCCGTAAAACTTATGATAAAACTTATCATAGATGAGCTCACTTTTGATCTGTCTCATTTTTCCACAATTAATTACTTTTGTAAAAGTGGGACGGACCAAAAAGTGATTCAGGAGTCAAGTCACACGTTACCGACCGCGGATCACATTATGGGTATTTAACAGAAAAAGTATGTATGAAAAAACTGAATTGAGATGTACGGTGAATAAAAATTGATTTAATACTGCCCATGAAAAGATGGAAGAGGACAATGATGACAGGGCTTTTGATAGAAAAAAAAATTCAGAGATTTTGCAAATAATTTAGGGATTTCAAAAATAACTAGAACACATATTCATTAAAACACTGCGTCCGTCTTCTTCCTATAAACAAATCATCGTCAGTTCAAACTTGTACAAAAAAAAATGACGTGGAAAATGCATAACACAAAATTGGTGTTTTATTTATATTTTATTCTATATACATATTGGACATTTAACTTTACATGATAGATATTTCCAGATTTTTGATGTCTGTTCGTGAAATACCAAACTCTGTCAGGTCGATATTTGAACACTGTAGAATGTTAAGTAAAGTCATTCCTAGACAATAAAACGTATTTCCATGATCCTCCTCCAGGAATTTGTTCTCTAGAAAATGAGCCAATTCATGCACAAAAGTACTAAGCAAATGAAGGTATCCAAAATGGCGGGCGAGGTTCATCCGGATAATGGCATCCTCGCCAAGAATTGTCTCCCCTAAGTCTTCTTTGCAATACGTTAAGTCTAAAATCAGGAATTTGTAGTCTGTTCTCCTAAATCCGATACATTTTCTATAAAATTGCCATACATACGCAGTCATTTTGCTTGCTTTGTGAATTTCTATATTTTCATTGCGGAATACAGATTTGTCCTCGGCGTATGAATACACTGTCCGATGATAAATATCGGTGATACATGACGTCACTTCCCGGTTTTTCTCGGCACATACTGCTCCTCTCTCCAAAATCTGGATCAGCTGAAGTTTCCGGAGCACTTCATGTCCTTCCCCGCTCCACAACAGGAAGTTTACAGAGTTCTTGGAGAAAAGAATTACCTGTAAAAGTAATAATACAAAAATACAACGTTTTCTGAACATGGCTGAATTGTATTATATGATTATCATTATGCCTCTTCACGTGATTGTACTACTTAGTATTTATACCTGTAAATGTACTACATAATGATAATTATTTCATTCACAATTCTAGTGATATAGTGATAAGTTCTGCTCTTTTTAAAAAATTTAAATACAAAATAAGACTTGGAACTTTGCATAAGTAGAGATGATTAAATATTTGTATAAGGTGGTACAGTAAATTAGTTGTATAAATTCTCTCTCTCTCTCTCTCTCTCTTCAAAATAAGGATTTTTATAATCTTTAACAGAAACCACACTGCAAGATTTTTGCATGTAAAATATATCATTATAATCCATCTTCATTATCAAATAACACAAATAATTCGTTCAAAAATATTTATGTCAACGTCTGTATATAGAAGTATAAATATATATAAATATATATGTATGAATAGCCTCACCTTTTTACTGTTAGTATGACCATTTTTAACATTATTAATCCAATGTATAGAGGGTAGACCAAACAAACAATTAAATTTACTGTCCACCCTCATGGTTAAATACAAATATTTACAAAAAATAAATAAATAAGTATTTATAGTGTGCCCTACTCCCATTATACATACCTTGATCAACATTAAGGCATATACCCGTGTTCCGATATTTTCAAAACAATAGAAATTAACATTAAGATTTCGAATCTACATTTCTTTCTCTTTTTTTCTTTTGATCGTCAATGCTATGAGCTGAGATTCAATAATTGTCCAGAGTTGATTAATGGCGTGATAGACACAGAGAAACATGTCCTTATGCACATCTAAATGCACATTAAACACCTGTTTTTACATCGGATACCTGTATGTTCCCGCTGATTCTCTGAATGATATTATAAAGATTTTATCTTCAAAAATTGTAACTGTATTTTCCGTCCGATGATAATAATGTCCCGGGGCAATGATATGACACATTTAACAGTTATATGTATATAGTAATTATCTCCTAATTTATGAAAGTCCTGTACTAAAGATGAATGTTTAAAAGAACTTGAACTTAAAGAACACAATAAGTATTTTACCTTACAAAGTTTAAATAATAGTTTTAATCATTCAGTTTACACTGATACAGAGAAACTTAATCAGTTTATTGTCAGCTTTCACTCTAGAATTTCAAATCTTTTTAATGCCCCTACATTGAAATGGTCTTTGGTACGTCGTCAAAGTTTTTTTTTTTCTGAATTGAAAACGAAGGGTAAGGGTTACGACATTAGTTACCAAAATAAATAAATGAAAATAAAGACTACTATTTTCTTTTTTGAAGTCGGATGTCTGCCCTGTCTCTCTCATTTCAAATAAGAATGATGAAGCCGAGTGTATAAGCTGATATACAGTGTCTTCTTGGAATTCGGCTGATTATGGAGGCAACATTATTATAATGATTTAACTAATTTCTTGTTGATGTTTTTTTTTTTTTAATTCAGATCAATCCTTCAAAAAGATAAGACTTATTATGGACCGTAAATACACAAATCAAGGAAGAACTGAATTCTCATATAACAAAGATTTATAAAGGAATCCATTTTTAAGGTATAACAACATAATTTATGAAACAAAAATATTCTTCCAAATACATATATAGTGATTATATAAAAATCAACAATTGTAAACAAGGGATACATGTTCAGTGCTATGCACATCAATTGAAATACGTGTTTATAAATGACATATGATATTGTACATGTATAGACGAGTGAGTATTTTGAACATTTTTCTATATTTATTATGTATTGATATACATTTATCTGAGGGAGACAACTCTTTGCTGAGTTTAAAGGAATTTAAATTTCTGTGCTTGTCACAATTTTCTACGAAAAGCTAGAGAAGTTAATGAATTTTAAACAAATTAAGTAATACGTTTATTGTACTGGGCAAAATTTTAGATTCCTGACAGTTGATTAAAAAGTTCTTAAGGAAACATATTGTTTAACAAAGAGTTATTTCCATTATACCGGAGGGTCGTTACCTCCCTTGACAAACAGTTGTTACACCATAAGTTATATCTTAACATCATAAAATATCAAACTACTTAACGATTTTCCAACAATATAAATTGGATTTAACTCCCTTTTTACATAGAATATGGCACCATTTTAATACTAATACATGTTTGTACGTGTATAAGAAAATTACTGATAGTAATGATGTATTGCTATGATGGTTTTTATTTAGATGACAGACCAGGGTGTGCTAGAATCACGGTGTGGTTGACAGATAAATCAAAGAAAATACAAATGTCATCAAACCAAATCAATCATTGTGTAGGGTTCGTAACGAAAATACATAATAAAATAATCCTATCTAGGAAATCACACTGCACCGGTGTAAGTAACAAAGTTATCTTTAACGCCCGTCAACTTCATCAGAAAAGCAGTTGAAATTCCCCCGGCAAATATGGAAGGCACTGCTAAAAGTGACAACCAGGCGAAAAGGCCCATTCCTGATATCCCGTGACCGCTGAAACGGAGAAAATCACGTCAAAAACTGAACAGATTTCTTTTTAACTAAAATCTTCTTTTCAATATTAATTTCCAGACATTATTAAATATGTTCCTCCATTATACGAAAGTTCACAGATGATTTTAATTTATAGTTGTTATAATACCTTGTGCACCCGGAAGCAAATCGTGATCCCCACAGCATGAGAACCCCACCAATTACAGCATCAGGAACGCTTACGCCCTCAATACTTCCGATTGACGATGACAGTCCCGCAGACAAAACAGCGCCACCTGTTACTCCGATTACTAGGAACACCTAACAAGAGAGTAAAATAAAGTAACGCAAAACAAGTTTTTGTGTTCATTAGGAGATGTTGTAATGAATATCATATTAAATAGAGAGGTACAGAATTATATGCATGTATTTAAATACCCAAGTCCTCTACATCTGAAATAGTTCGCCTGGTGCTGATTACATACAGAGCGCCTGCTAAATATTAGTTTTAAAACAGGTGTCTTACCTGCCACCAATTGCCCATACCGCCCCTACACCTGGCCAGGTAAGGAAACAGTTTCTGTAGTCTCTCCGTGATCACCCACTGGGATACTATAGTAGCATAACAAGAGGATCCGCCCAGCGTGTCACAAAGAACTAGAACCACCGGAATCTGACACAGTCCAACCAGGACACCTGTACAAATATTCAATTCAGACATTATTTCATTTTGATGAACTTAAAGGCACACGACAGTATCTCAGATAGTTACTATTCGTTCATCTTGCACGAAAGTATTTCAAGACCCAAAAGTAGGTTGCTGTGACCTCATTTTAGAATTTTATACAAGGAAAATATTTGACATCAATGAAGAATGCATCCTATGTGGTATTCGGCGCGTGTATTTTACTGTTTTTTATTTCATCTGTTGAAATTCTTTCTATCTCCTGTCTTGCCCATTATTTTACTAAATAAATCAGATATTATTTTACAATGATCTCTCCACTGACTACTGAAGGTTATTTGGCATTTTTCTCTATTTTCTTCACAGAAAAGATTATTTATTTCATGGAACACTAATAAAAACAAAACGAGAAGCCTCTACCCTTTACTTCCTTGACCCAGTAAACTTTCTTGTTAGAAACTTACCTGCAGCATATGGCGGCCAGGCAATCTGCTGCATGAAATTTTTGTCTGAACTAATTTCAATCTAGAAAAAGGGAAAAATAAATGAATATTAATTTTTTGACCAAGCATAATTAATTGCTAATCATGATAACGATTTTCAACAAAAGGAGCTCTGATAGTTGGTATTTAATTTTTGTTTCATTACTCACGTTTAAATTATCTAGGTCTTTACTCATTGGCCACAGCCACTCAAGAACGGCAACTCCTCCAGCCAGAAAAACTGCCATTGGAAGAGCTAGCACTACGTATGGCAGATTGAATTTTTTATAAACTCTACAACAAGTTTGAATCTTTGTTTTATTTTGTAAAACTCTCTAATGAATAATAAGTCACATATGTAGCTTTTTCCGGTTCTCTTTGAAAATATTGTTCTACATACTGGTGTACTGCAAGGGGTTTCTTTGGCTTGGTTGTTTTTTCTATGTATGGAGCAATAAGTCCGTACGTCAGAGCGCCGAATAATCCGCCGATAAGAGAGAATACTGTAAACAGAATAATTTTTGATATAATGGTACATACATAAACATAATGTGAAACATATGATGAGGCATAATAAAGCCTTAATCTCCCTCCTCCTTAAAATAAATCCGCTTTTTTTACATTTGTTATTTAATCTTGATTCTATATAATTGTGACTAATCATAACTTTTTAAGATCATAAAAGCCTTTTAAGCTTTTCCTCTTCAACTTGTTCAGATTTCAATTCTTTATGAATTCTTTCTGTATTATATTACAGAATTTAAAAAAAACGTTTTGACGCACCTGCGTTTGGTACAACACTGCCTATCTGCGCAAAGACCATGGCAGGACACTACAACACAACAAAAATTATAAAGATTGGTGACCTTTAGGTCATCATGAATAATTAATCTGACTAGAATTTATTGTTACAACAACGACAAAAGAGTGAAAGATCTCTGACTAGAGTGTCGTACATCTGCACAATTTGAATGAACCACGTAATTGATTCCTGAGGGTTGGAGACACCTGTAATTACTTTGTCGCCAGGTATCTAATCACATTCTGAATAATACCTGGTTGATGATGCAAAGTTTTTGCAAGTTCACGAGAGTTGGATTTTCACTCGAGTCATTCAGAGCGAGATGATAAATAAAACCTATAACCTACCTGCATTGTTAATTACATGAAAAAACTCTTTTAAGTTCTTTATCAAAGAGAATTTAAATACCTCTTAACATAAATAATGAATTTAATTTCATAAAAAAAAGTTGTTTTTAATGCTTCTCTCTTTCGAGCAGCGTCATTCAAGTGACTAGAAGAATGTGCGAGATTTACATAATGCACCGATATTTGATGAATGGGGTCAAACTTTGTAGGTTAGGAGTCTTTTTTGGGCTCAAGGTCGGAATGCTGGTTAGAATTATAAAGTGGAGGTCAGTGGCCAACAACGAAACCTAGGACTTTAAGAAAGAATCGTCTTCCTTACTTTCTATATATTTGTCATGGCTATAAGTTGTCAAATTTGAAGATGTAAAAATTTGCAATTTTCCTTGAAAATATTTAAAGAGATCATAGAACATATAACTGATTCAAGTCGACAAGTCCTCCAGAACCAGTGAACCAATTTTCAAACAAACCTGCTTCTTTAAATTATTGGATAAGAATTTAGTTTCCAGTTGCACAATTATAGGGCCAGGCTCCTATCAAGAAATGTAAAAGAGTGTTTTAAAAAATTTCTTGAAAAAAGGATTTTTTCAAAAATGAGTATAAAATTTGTATAAAGCATTTAGTTTGAATCATGAGTGCGGGTAGGATTTCATATTTCAGGTGTCTCACCTTTTACATGTGATGAACTAAGGGAACAACAGAGCTCTAACACGGTCCTTGGTTTACATACGAGAAATTAATTTTATTTTATGCTCTGCTGATTAAGGAGAATTATTTTATCAATAAATTTGAATGTTGCCTGAGCAAAACGATTAATAATAGAATTATTGGTGTAACTTTCTAAGTATATTACTATTACTATTTCATATTCAGGTAAACACAGTTATAATACGATGATTTCATTATTACAAGTAATTTTTTTAGTGTCTCCCGCTTTCGCGAAAGCGAGGCGACATTAAACTTCCATCATTCATTTCTCAGTCTGTCCGTCTGTCAGTTTGTCTGTCACAAAAAGTTTAACCTTGAATGAGAACCTCTCCAAATATACTATGATTTTTGACCCTTGACCTTGACTTTGAAGTTTGACCTACTTTTCAAAAAAATTTTCATTACTTTTACCTTGAACATGACTTTTGAATAAGAAGAGATAGGGCTTCATTATTTCACATGTGCATTACCTGTGACAAGACCTTTCCAAATATGATACGATTTTTGACCTTGACCTTAAAGTTTGACCTACTTTTCTAAACGTTTAACATTGTTTATAACTTTTGAGCGAGAGAAGAATAGGGCATTCATATATGACGTGCATAACCTGTGATGCTAACGTTTCCAACAGGCTATGATTTTTAAATTCTTGACTTTGAACTTAAAATTTTACTTAATGTTCAATATTTTTAACATCGGGAATAACTTTTGAATGAGAAGAAATAGGTGTTCATATTTGACAAGTGCATGACCTGTAGCAAGAAGTGTCCGAATGTGCTATGATACTTGACACCATAATCTTGAAGTTTGACCAACTTTTCAAAACTTTATCATTGCTGCTAACCTTAAGAGGAGCTAACGAAGGGTCTTCGTATTTGACATATTTGACATTACCTGCCACAAGACGTTTCCAAATGCACTATGATTTTCACCCTCATAACCTTGACCTTGAAGTTTTACCTAATTTTCAAAAATTTAACATTTCAATAACTTCTGAATGAGAGAAGAAAGGGCATTTATATTTGTCATGTCTATTACCTGTTTCAAGACCTTTCTAAATGTACTTCTGTTTTTGACCTCGTGGCCTTGCCTTAAAGTTTAACCTACAGTCTTTTTCATTTTTTTTACATCGGTAATACCTTTTGAATGAGAGAAAATAGGGCTTTCATATTTTACATGCACATTAACTATGACAGCTCCTTTCAGAAACATATATCATGTTTGATTTTATGACCTTGTCCTAGAAATTTAACCTACTTATCAAAAATTTTAACCTTGGCAATAACTTTTACTCCAGAAGAGAAAGGGCTTTCATATTTTTTTTTTCACATGTATAATTGTATCCCAATTACCGAGACACGGGGGACCACAATTCTTTGAATTTGCTTGTTGTTCTTAAAAATGAAATTTCTAACATATTTGAACTTTGCTCTTTTTTTCTCAGAGATCTTTCCCGTGTAAACCGGACCCAAAACAAATACAACGAAAGAAACAACTCACTGGGTCTACTTGTTTACTCTCAACACACGAGAGGCAGTAGTTATACATGAAGAACAACAAGAAGTTTGCAGTTTACATAGATTACACAAACACATTTGAAGGTTCTAAAATAAAGGATATCTTTGACATATGTAATGGTGTGTCAGCCTGTTGTCGGCCAATTATTTTAAAAGTCAGTCTGAATACAGAAAATGGCTCTGTTCCATAATTACGTTTATGTAAAATCGATATGTGTGACATTTAAATAATATTGTTATTGACCTCGATCGACTCAATATTCCTTTTTTATATTTATATAGTTTTAAGCCTGCAAATAACAATACATATTTGTAGTCTTTCTATCGCGCGAAAAAATATTGATCATTTACTCCCAGAATTTGGAGATTTTACCGGAAAATATGAATAAAACTTGATTCCAGTTTTATTTCTACTACAATGGTAAATCTTGAAGAACTGATTCTTCTGAAGAAATAAATAGATTCTTCTTCCCTTTTGCAAAAGACAAACTATGTATAATCATTTGAAAACGGACTGTAAAACGTAAAGCCCAGTACACCTGTTAACAAATGTACCCTTTTGATTGACGTATGAAGAATATACTTGGCATAGCTCGGTTGACGAAGACAAAAGGACTGTGACTAAATTGTCTTTTTATTATCAATATTTATTCAATCAAAACCAAAAATAATGTTTCCGAAAAGTAATATAAGCTATATTTGACAAGTTTCACAGGTTCACTAGAATTTTTACTTCAGATAAAATGGACCTTAAATAATTTCTTTATATTTTTCACAACCAAAACACCCCGAACCATTTTTATGTTAAAAAGAGTGTCTGAATTATTTTCAATCGTTATATATTTGAAAATATTTCACAGTAAAAATATTTAACAAAAAAAATTATAAAGCAGAAGCTGGAATTCTTGGACCGCTTGACTAAGCTCCTTCTAAAAACTGATAATTTGTCCATAAACCAAACATGTTTCCCTCAGTCAGTCCTCCAATTTTGGCAATAATCTTCCATCAGGTCCCAGAAATAATTTGTCGCCCTCATTTTCAGTCAGTAACTATATTACAACATAGCTGGTTACATACACTGTAGCCTGTCCTGAGCTATGTGTACATAACTTAATTGTACGTTGTACGCTACATTTGTATATATATCAAGATACGTATTGTAACCTTCACATCTAAATACGTATTGTGTAGTAACATACACCTTATTTCGATACATATTGTATCGAAATCTAGGTATCGATGACATGTACTGTTATATATCATATCGTGACAACTTTTTGATAGGAAATATCGAGTTCATGGAATATTGATGTTGCTTTAGTGCATGATCTATATATAGAACAATTATAATGGTATGATACTTACAGCACCACACAGGGACATGCCAACTCCGAAAATAAACGAACCCAGTACTGTAGAAAGAATCCCCTTCTGGACAAAGCAGGCAACAAACTGTTCAGACGCCCTCTCAAAGTACTGCTTCGTCTTAGGGATTACTGATATTATGGACAAAACTATTTGACCTGAATAAAAAAAAATGTAAATTACCTGCTGTATTTAAAATAGATTCATGTTATAAGTATAACTCTTCTATAATACATGTAGTCTTTGATCAGTACAATACACTGGTAAAACAGTTATTCGTGATATCATTTCGAAGGTAAGCTATATATCCTAGACATTCAGGCCTCTTAAATTCCCCTCCCACCCTCCCCTTGTCTACTTGATGAGGAATCTTGTTAATTTTTTCGGTGATATTTTTTTAATTTAGCAAGCTTGTATACATCTTCCAAGACTTAAAGCAAATTAAACATAAGGACAATACAGTACCTGCAGCCACCGCAGACAAGAACATCTTCAGCATGGTGAAACTTTCAAACACCATCTGATTCCGGACACTCTTAGGATCAAATACTGCAAAATAATTAATTTCTTATAATTTTTATAACTCAATTCTCTCATTTAAATAGCATATTTACCAACAAAATGAATTATCTTTAGATTCCCTATAAGCAAAATAATATTTAAGGAGGAATATTTGTTTTTGTTTTTAAGTGAGAAATTTTGGTGTGTTTGATTTTGTTTAGTTTTCTTTCTTCAAAATGTGATTTCGTTAAGGAAGCTCTGAACAATTCACACTAAAGAGTCCCAATCAGCCGTTAAAGTGATCCCCCGTTATATGTAAATTATAAGAAAGGGGAATCTACTGTTAATGACACAATTTGTAATAAAGATATTTTTCATTAATGACGACTCCTATGTTGACGTAAAAATGACGGAGTGGAGCGTGAGCAATCTATCAAACACTCTTCTGAGTACAACTTAATTTACCTGATCGTTCGATCAGTTTTTAAATCCATCAGTAACAATTTTCTGAGTACGATCGTTCGATCAGATTTTAAATTTATCGATAATAATTTCTGAGTACAATTCAATTTACCTGATGAGTTTTTTTTTTAATCCGAGTTACCTGTGCCAGTGGTCATAATTGTATTGTTAAAGCTTAGCAAAACTCCGCCAGGAAAAAGAATATTATCAGCCATTCAATTAAATTCAAATAAAATTAATATAAATCGACTGCACCATTACCTCGGGATTTCTCCAGGGCTATTCCTAACAGGACACCACTTAACAGGCCAGTCGCTATCTTAAGCATCAGGATTCCGCATTTGGAGCATGCTGATTTGTTTGGTGTCCGTCCATCCGAAATTTGCATGTTCTCTCGATCCGCTTCCGGTGGAACTTGAACTTTAAAGCTTGGACATGATGGAGTGTTCGAAACGTCCGTATTTCCTGTACATGTTGACGGCTCGTCATAGGATACTGAAGATACTGACACTTTTGACGGCATTTTACGATTTCATTGAAGTCCAGTTTTCCTACCAATATCTAAGTAATGACATTCAGCACCTACAAAAACGTCACAGTAGTATTATATTTGTTGGATATATACATCGTTAGTATGATAAAAAAAATGTAATTTCTCGCGAATAATAGAGTTAAAATTGTACATTGACATATTCACCCCGAAATTAAGAAGTACAATATTGATGATAAGTTTTAACGTCAATCAGTATGCTCTAAACTTGTCAAAGATTGATATTTATATACATTGTTGATAAATTGACAAATAGCAGGTTTTAGGAATCATTTTACAATAAAAGGTGACAGTTCTAAATAAACATTAATTCACCTAGAATGAGTCCTCGGTTCCTTGCAATTTCAATCAAATACTAAATTGTCGCTCTTCTGGTTTGTACTTATTAATAACTTAAGCACTTTTGGGTCCATTGAATTTTTTTTTAGAATTGTGTATTTTGCCATATTTTGCAAACATTTATTAATCAAAGCAAAACTGCACGACATTTACATGTACTTCTAAAACAGTTTCATAGATGATTCCGTTTTAGTAGACATCAAAACATCATTTATTAAATACTTGAAACTGATATACAGAATATATCATGTATCAAGAAGTAATTAATCTACTTGTGTAATTAGTTTTAGTTGAAATCAAACCAAACTTTGGGAGGATTACCATTTTAAAGAATATCAGACATTATTCTTTTCTTGGTTACTTTGACAACATTGATCACCAGAATTTGATGTCGATTGATAAAATTTTACATTTTGTATATACGAAATTTTATTTAAATCAGACCAAAGCTATAAGAGAAAGAATTTTAAATATATTCACGGAAAATATACATGTATAATTTCAACAGGCAATCAAAAACAGCGTTTTGTGCATTGAATTTCTAAAGATAAAGGATATTATAATCCACGGTGTGTTTATCGAAATCAAAAACTGATAAATAGAATTATAGATATTGGTGTATTCCAAAGGGTGTACCAAGCTTTAATGAAATAGGACCAAAAAGAAGGGCAAGTGTTTTTAGAGAATTCTACATTAATTTTATTTTCAGTGAATCAAAGTCAAATAATTGATGATATCTTTAAATATTTGAAGAAACATGTATCATCAATTCAATTATTGTCTGTATAAAACCAATTCTTTCTCTCATTAATTAAACTGGTATGCTCATCAATATTCAATTGATGAGAGCAAAAATTAATTTGATGAACTCAACAATTCAATTGATGCGCGCATCTGTCCGACTCTCCAGCACCAACATTTACAGTATACATGTATATATTTTAATTCCCCATTAATTACATGAAAAAATAACTATAATAATAAATATAAAAAGTCAATTATTCATTATTTCTTAATCTCTTTGCATGATGAATGAATTTCCCTGACCCAAGTAAAACACCAACATTATGACAGCTGAGTAAGATTGTACGTATTTGGAGACCTGAAATCATATGGGTGGACTATATTTTTTTCTTAAAGAGCCATATACAGGACATTCAAACAAAAAATTATATTCATCTTCGATACACTGATCATTACAAATTTGACATAGTCTACCGGTATTATACTTCTCTCTGTTTTCTGATATCTAGCTTTTTCTATGTTTAAGCAATGAGAAGAAATCCTTAGTCTAGAAATATACTATAGCGCTTCTTCAGCCTAGAATGAATAGGTTTTGTCAAATAGGCATGGATTGGGGGGGGGGGGGGGCGGTGTCACACACAAAGTGCTTATACAAGAAACATTTAGCTGAAATTTCCAACAACAAAAATTACAATCATAAAAGTAGATTTCCAATAGTTTTTCATTGCATAAAGATATACACTGTGTTGGATTAATAAAAATCTTGATTAATCCAAAAATTCCCAAGTCCCATTTGAAACAACTCTTGCCCGCTTAAATTTAGAATGTAATTTATTTTCAGCATTATGTAATGATAAAATACAATATAATACATTTTGAAATTAAGAATAAGGAGGCAATGTTTATCAGAAACTCCAATGTGTGAATATTGTACTGACTCTGTTGAAGATGCCTATCACTTTTTTGTATGTCCAAAATGTACAATTCCAAGAGATGTACTTTTCAATCAATACATAATATTATAAACTAAGACAATCTTTCTGAATATGAATTGTTATTAAATGATAGTCCTAATCATGGACTTAATATCAATATTCCAATATTTGAAGCTGTATATACATTTATAGCAACAAGAAAACGATTTATATAAACACTGGCATAACATGTATACACGTATGTTATTGTAACATTTTTGAATATTTCCAAATCGGTACTTCTTTCTAATCTTGCCTAATTTTCTCTGTAATTTTGATTACTTGTTAGTTTTCTTCTCTTTTTTTCTTCTTTGGTACATTATTACTTTTTGCTTTGTTTCTTTAAAAATTTTCATCTGTGACAAATTGCATAATTAATAATTTGAATCGGCAGAATAAGTTATCAATTTTTAAATGTTTGTTACGAAATCTCTTTTTAATAAACCTTGTGTGCAATACACTATTGTACATTAAAATAAACTTTTTAAATGCGCAATATCTATTTTGAACTCACATATATCGACTTCAAACTTGAAATCATTTAATGTATTGCCTGTTTTCTAAACGAAACCCATCGTTGGAAACCACAGTCTCGTCTTGTGAAGAGTAAAAGCGATCACCCGTGGGTATCCGATGATGAGCAAAACCTCGTTTATTCGTATTGAGAATCAAATTTATAAGCTAAGTGGCCAGGATGCGATTTGAATTTACTACCGTATTTTACCCACAACATTTATTTAAATTTATCTGCGATTTCGATTTTTAATCTTTTTTAAAGTTTTCCACGCAATGCTTTTGTTGATTTTATCGAAAAAAAATAAGGAAATTGAAAAAAATATCAAGCAGTAAATCAAGATAAATAATTGTCATTTTTACGTTTAAATTGATTAATTATTAAACTAATAACTATTGATCTTTCGTTAAAACCGTATGACACAAAAAATTAAAACGCGGAGTCATGGTATCGTGTTTTACCTCGGGAAGTACAGCAATTTGATGTTCGATATACCTATACTATGACAATGTTTTGTGAAAATTCCTATCCCAGAGGGCATATCAATATCACTAATTACTAATCAGCATCTCTCTCTCTCTCTCTCTCTCTCTCTCTCTCTCTCTCTCTGCATGGCATACAGAATTGTTGAAAATGAAGTACAGGGTACATGTAGATATAAAATAATCCATATTCATTAAAGAAAGGATCATTCATCTTCATCAGTTCATATATATATATATATATATATATATATATATATATATATATATATATATATATATATATATATATATATATATATATATATATATATATATATATATATATATATACAGAATTTCTTTTTAGTTTGTTCACATGTATCCATGTGTACTGTATTTATTTAAATTTTCCTTTTATATATAAAACACTTTATGCTTCACTCTGATATATAGAACTATATAAATATGAATGTGCACTCAAGGTAACGAAATGAGATGAGAAAGGAAAAGATTAAAGTTTTTTTATCAAAACAATTGAGAATAATTTCAAAATAATACAAGGTCATATTTTTTTTTCTAAATGATAACAATCAGGTCGGATGTAAAAGAAGAAATATCAGATTTAGTGTATACCAAATAATTCCGACATTTCAGAAACAAAGGTATATATTATTGCTTACTCATATTTTTTTATTTTTAAATGCAGATTTCAAACAAAATCCTGTTATATCCACCTTCTCCACTTAAAGAAAGAAATTGGAAAAGAAAATTGATCAGAATCTATACAATGCAAGAGGCATTATTGGTTAATTCATCGTAGTTATTAAAAAGTTCGGAAGAAAAAAATCTTTTATAATCTGCAGAGGGATCCAATAGACAGATCAATATCTAGGCTGTAAATCATAAAATCTTTCTATCAGAGAATAGTGGAGCTTTATTTTGCCTGGAATGCTCTGGACAACTGAATATTGAATTTTCCTGAAAACTAAAATATCTAACATCTTAAGTACCCTTTTTACTATGTCGAAACACTTACCCCCACCCCCCCCACCCCACCCCTCCCCAAATCGATTATAATTATGGTATACTTACATTCAAATTGTTTAAGAACGATCCTATAGGAAACCTATCCAAAATAGATACATTTCATTTATCAATGCCAGAATTCATTCAATTTCCCTCTAGAGAATGGTTTGTTCACATATATATAATCTATCTAAAGAATTATTTAATATAGATAATATCTTGCTGTTCTGAGGTCACGTTTGCGATGGCCTTTTTGGCGGCATTGAGAATATGACTCCAAAATTTCAATCCATGTTCGCTTTACTTTGTTCTCGCTCTACCCAGCAAATCAATACGACACAATACTAGAATTTTAAGTCGCGGCTAACGTGCAGTCTTCTGCATGCACCGCCCAAGTAACAATTATTAAGCAATTATACCCTGTAAAAAGAAAGTTTTTTAATCAAATCCATGATTTATTTGTATACAACTAGCTAAATCGTAAACGATTAGCTTTGATACCGGTATTGAAAATAGCCAATACACATGCGCACGCCAGCAAAACAAATATTACCTAAGTTCTGCAAATCCATTTACTTTTGTTCTGAAGAGCTTTTGGCAATCTTTTATGCGCATTGATATCCTAAAAGTTTAATCAAACACTGCCATCTTTAATTTCCCTACCCTAATAAATGGCAAGATGGCAACAGATAAGCACTATGATTGAGAAATGTCTGTCAATCCATCAAGTACTTAAATGCAAAAACAAAATAACATATTAAGAAGATTTACTAAAATTAATTTATTAAAGTGACTATTGATTTAATAAAAACAACGACGTAAAGTACTGGGAAATAACAAAAATGAAATGCATTGATTAGTTTTTGATTGAGGAGGCCTTTGGGGGTGGTATATTTCCTTGAAATGTTCCTAACCAAACATGCTGAAGGTCTTAAGTCTTACAGTTTTATTGTCAAGTATTATTTTCAACGTTAAATTTGAAATGTCGTGTTAGCATGTTATATTTTGCAGGCTGTGGTCGAGTAAACGTGCAGACCTAAGTCTGGGAAATAGAAAATTGAAAGAAAGGCCATTAATCTTTGTTACATTGGTAGGAATGTAAGTAAGGGTGTTTTCATGATCATTAAAAAACGGTACAAAAACAGCCCGGGCATATCTTTTATTGTACCATTAATTTACAAAAAAAATATTTTTTGAGTGTTTTTTATTACAAAAGGATAAAAAAAATTTTTTTTATTTTCACGTGGTCCTACGGCCTGTAGGTCATTATCACAGTTTTAGGTCATATCTGGTCATATCTCTACTGGACACCACGGATAGGTGACCGCTCTTTGTTACTTACCTGAATAACCCTTGAAGTTATTTTTATTTCATTTATTTTATTCTGTTTTTTATTTTTAATTATTACCTTTATTTTACCATTTTGTTTTATGCAAAAATATGCAGCACCTCGCGTTAAAATACTTTTTTAATCAATCAGTTCCTTACACATGTACATGCTATATTTTCTTAATTTTTCAATTTGTTAATTGATATATATGTAGGTCAAAAAGCAAAACTTGAAAAACGATTACAATTCTACAATATAGGATTTAATTAATTTAAAATGATTAGAGAGACAGCAGAAAGTTATATCTCGACCTTAACAGAGATAATAATGGAACACAGAAAGTCTTTGACTCGATTTTAAAATGATGACATATATATATTTTTTTTAATTTTAAAACAAACCAAAAATAAATAAATAAATAAATAAAATAACAAACTAAACAAAAACAAACAAAATAAAAGCTAATTAACTGATCAGGAACTTAAACGTATAAGAAATAGGACAATTTAGATTGTTTGTAAATTTAATAATTGAAAATTTAAAAAGCAATATATAGGAATTTCACCGACGAACGTCACCAGTGATCAAAAGAATAACGGTAAATAACATGCATTTAAAGTACAATATAATATAATGGAAAATAAAATAAAGTTTGCAAATAACACTGCAGCAAAATAATTAAATTGAAACTTACATGTAAGGAATTAATTGTCCACAAATTTTACTGCTGATGCGCTCGATACACCCACACTTCAACAACGTTCGATAGTTTTCTGTGTATTGGAGTTTATGTTGCATAGAATCATTATTTCACCGCCATGTGACTTGTAACAATAGTCAATGAAGGTCTTCAGTAGCTCAAATAATGAAATATGCACACTAATTAATAGAAAAAAAACTTTCTCTTTCTGTATGACTAGGTATTTATATGCCTCATTTACGATGTGTGCTATATCGTTTGTGATCTATTTCTATTTCACGAGAGCTTAACCGAATATTTTTTTTATCAAAGCTTTGTGCCTTGTCATGTTCTTCTTGAATTCCTTCACCTTATGAATGAAGGAACTAACTATGTTTATGTTTTCAAGGTCGTAACGCATGCGCATGTCAATGTCATTGGCACGTCTGCTTGCATAGCAGTGATACAGCAAATTTACCTGAGACCAGCCGATCAATTTCCGTAAAAACTAAGTATAAAAACATTATATAGAAGCAAAAGTCAAGCAGTGAGACATTCAATAAGTTAGCGGGAAAACCTTTTAGCCTTTCTCGGATCGGAGATTCACTGAAGTGGACTGAAATTGAGGACCATGCGAAAACTTATATTTTTCCCTACTTAAAGTTTTAAAATCCTTTTTTTAATGGACTTGGTATGCTAACGTAGGGATAGCAAGAGATATATATACACACATTTAAATTCTATATAAGCAATTGATATGACTGTGTATTGGAGTTATTTTTTTAAGATGAATAAGTTTGACGTGTTGTTTTATTTAACCCATGTAAATAATATGTTCATTTTGGAATGATCTTTTAATATGTATTTTCAGCAATATTCTCTTTATTAAAAAAAATCAATTGAAAAGTAAGGATAGAGCCGAATCTGAACCCTCTTTTCAAGAAATCAAAATTCACTTCTAAAGTTTTAAATGAAATACCATGCGCGGATCAAGGGGGGGGGGGGTTCAGGACCCCCTGGAATTTGCAGAGTTATAAAAAGTATACACTGAAGCAGAAAAAAATTACTTTGGACCCCCTCCCCATAGAAAACGTGGACTCCACCATTACTACCACGAAATAGGTGTTTTTCACGTTTGGGAAATGGATTTTACGGGGGGTTTTTTTGTTTTGTTTTTGTTTTGTTTGTTTGTTTTTTGTTGGTTTTTTTTGTTTTGTTTGTTTGTTTGTTTGTTTTTCTTTTTTGCTTGTCAAGAAATTTTTTGGGTTAGAATTTTTTTTTTTTTTTTTTTGGACTGGGATGCATGGACCCCCTGGAAAAAATTCCTGGATCAGCGTCTGAATATGGAGATATAAAAGTTCATAATTTAGAACCCTTTGATTTAAACATATTTTATTGATACATAATCAACTGAATTGGACAAAAGTTTTTCCAACTTAGATTGTCCTTTCCAATGCAAAGAAAATGAACAATAAATACACATGGTGAAGAAACAAACAGATGTACATAGATACATTAGGTGCAAGGAATTAAAGGGAGAGAAAGAATGAAAAAGAGAGAGAGAGAGCAGAGAAAAGGGAGGGGAGAGGGTTGCAGAAGATTGGAATGGTTACGCTGATCATTAAAATCTTTTCGTTTTTTTTTTTTTTTTTTTTTTTTTTTTTTGATGACGTACTTGTGCACAGCTTCACCGATGTTTTGGTGGCCCACATTTGGGTCCCCAAATAAAATTGTTTCAAGGGCTAATATTCCTTTTATTCCTTAAGGTGAGGAATAAATCTGATCTTAATTTATATGTGGATTAGTTTCAACCATGATTTTCAGCCACAGGGGGTAAAGAATTTGAACATTTTCTTTCAGACTTATTTTCATTTTAATGAATTAAAAATTTGTGATTACTTTTTAAAAGACACAGTGACGCAAGAAAGCGAAAAATGAAAAAAATGTAATTTTTCCATGACCTATGCAGATTTTATTCAATTCTTAAAAGTAAAAAGTTTCATAAAATTTCTTATGAGGAACTCTGAAACTCTATTGTTTGGAGAAAAAATACTTATTGTGTGGCCCATGACGAAAACATTGTTAGTCTTCTTCCTTCTTGTTGTACTCATACGCAGAAAACATGAGCAAGTTACCACAGTCCCAAGTCAAAAGAAATGGAATATTGGTAGACGAAGGATTTTGAAAAAGATAATCATACATGGTGTAAACGAGTTTTCGCTATAAATAAAAATCACGTGACGTTGATGTTTACGAGAGCAACAATGCGGTAAACACAACCCTTGCTTTTCCGGTACTTATTAGTTTACATCTACTTGCTTTACAGGGCAGTTGAGTTTGTTAAATCTTAGCTATACTAATATATTCGATGAATCTTTCGATTTATGTTACAAATATCATAAAAGAAATATGTGATTTTGACTCACTATGTCCCTTTAAAAAAAAGAAAGAAAGAAAGCTCAAAATAGCATATCTGAGATGTTTGTATACTAGATTAATCTAATGCTATTGTGTAAACTTTGTAAATGTAGTAGGCTAAACATTTGTATTTTCTAAATCTATATTTGTCGATTATACATCCAAAATTGCATGAAAATGCAATAAAAATGAAAACATTTGAATTTAATTCTCTTTTGCATTATTATACTTTTCCTTTTTTTCATGCATTACATAGTTCTAACGAAACAAAGTTCACGATTTTTTAAATGAATATTCTTTGTAAATGATCTGTGTAAAATTCTCCTATATCTGTTCTAAAATTGTCCAAAGTACGACAGTATCTAATGGATTTCCATGCATAAGGATATTGAATTTTCCTCTCGCCTTTTAATTTTTTTTAATGTTACACAAAATACTTGCATCTAACAGGATGTGACCTAATATTGTTCCACATAAAAGTATTGTAGAGTGACTTGAATCAAAGGAAAACATTAAGGCCTTTCTATTTTTGGTGTTTTTCTTGACTGTAAGTAATAGGCCTTCAACACTCGGGCAGCGTCAGAGGACTTCCGAATACTCTGAACAGAAAAATGGTTAACATAGGTCTAAAAATTCTGATAGGAAAAATGGAGAAGGTGTACATGCATGAGTATTTGTGTGTTTTAATTATAGTCTGAATTAAATACATCTTCGCACATGTGCAACAATGGAAAACAAAATTATATATATATAAGTTGAAATTAAAATAGTAATTTTGACGTTTTTTGTCTATCACTTCAAAGTAAATTTATTCTTTAAGTTTGGTGATAATGCAGTTTCTTTCTTGTAATTAAAATGCATGAACTGTAATATTGCTTTTCAACTGCAAGCATGGAAACATTACAATTCTGAAAGCACTTTATATTGAATATTAAGCATATTTTTGATGGCTAAGAAAATTTATTGTTTTGTGAGCTGAACTTTCGTCATCATGGAAAAAAAATGTACATCGCTGTCAATCAAATAGAAAAAAAATCCTCCACCGCACTGAATCCTATTAACTTTTGTAGATAAAACAAATTTCAAAAAATTATAAAAATTAGTATGGATAAGAGATTCCTGGAGTATAGGAGTGGAATATTACATTAGATTTACTAACAGAAAGATTTACTTATAGAATGTACAAGAATTTTAACGTCAGTAACTTTTGGAGTCGGCTTCGGGAATATCTGACGTATATTGCTCAGCACTGCTCCTGTTACATATTTAACTGGTCAATTAAAAGATTTTCAGTTCGAGTTTTACAATGCCCAAAACGTAAGGGGTCCTAAGTCAACTCAGGACCCCTGACGTTGTAAGGAAGGAGTTTTACATATTGCTAATTATGCCCCCGTATCGAAGATTCGGGGTTATATAGTTTTTGCCCCGTCCGTCCGTCTGTCTGTCTGTCTGTCTGTTTGTCCGCAAAAACTTTAACCTTGCCCATAACTTTTGATTGGTTGAAGCTATCGCTTTCATATTTCACATGTGTATTCCTTGTGACAAGACCTTTCTTTGGATACCACCATATTTGACCTTTTGACCTTGACCTTGGAATTTGACCCACTTTTGCAAAAATTTACAAAACTTGAACCTTGGCCATATCTTTTGAACGGTTGGTGCTAGGGCTTTCATACTTCACATGTGTAATCCTTGTGACAAGACCTTCCTTTGGATACCAACAACTTTGACCCTTTGACCTTGGAGTTTGACCTACTTTTTGAAAACTTTAACCTTGGCCATGACTTCTGAACGGTTGGTGCTAGGGCTTTCATACTTCACATATGTAATCCTTGTGACAAGACCTTTCTTTGGATACCAACAACTTTGACCCTTTGATCTTGACCTTGGAGTTTGACTTACTTTTGGAAAACTTTAACCTTGGTCATAACTTCTGAACGATTGATGCTTCAGCTTTCATATTTCACCTGTGTATTTCTTGGGAGAAGGCCTTTCCTTGGGCACCATTAATTTTGACCATTTGACCTTGACCTTGATGTTTGACATACTTTTGAAAAACTTTAACCTTTTCCATATCTATTCAATGGTTGCTGCTAGGGCTTTCATATTTCACAGGTTTATTCCTCGAGACAATGCCTTACTTTGGGTACCAGCATATTTGATTTGCATTTGAGAAAGTTTAACCTTTGCTCTAAGTTGCCATACGGGGGCATCAGTGTTTCACAAACACATCTTGTTTTTTTGTTTTTTTTTCAGTACTATCACTTAGAAAGCCTTAGATTTAGGACACTTTCCTTACAAACTTTTATTTTTTTAACGAACGCTTATCTATGATATTCTTGATCGGATGATTCTAAGTCTATACATTTTTTGTAGGAATTATTGAAATCATAACATTGTTTAATGCTTTTCGGTATAGGAGAAGAAAAACGGTATCAGTTTTCATAATATATTCTTTATATGGCTTTTGCTCACAAGCTTTTGGATCGCTTAAATCCGACTTTAAAAAATTTGGGGTGTACATGTATAAAAAAAGATATTTTTTAACACCCAATTTTTTTGTATGTTGGTTAAAGCGATCTAAAGGCCTGTGCTTTGACTGAACTCTCTTCATCACGTGAAACATTACCGTTCACCTCTGTCATTAATCCAAAATTGTTATTTCTTCATTACTGTCCCTCGCTCTCGCGAAAGTGAGGTGACATTTAATCTCATTCATCTATCAGTCTGTCCGTCTGTCAGTCTGACATAAAAACTTTATCCTTGATCATAACTTTTGAATGAGAAGAGATAGGATTTTATATTTCATATTTGTAGACTACCCGTGACAAGACCTTTCCAAATATACTCTGATTTTTGACCCCTTGACCTTGAACTTGAAGTTTTGAAAGAGAGAGAATATAGAACATTCATATTTGACATGTGCATTACCTGTAACAAGACATTTCCCAACATGCTTTGATTTTTTATCCCGTGACCATGAAGTTTGACCTAATTTTCAAAAATTTTAGCTTAATTTTTCTCTTATTCATAACTTTTGAATGAGAAGAGAGAGAGAGGACTTTAATATTTCACTTGTACATTACCTGTGGCAAGACCTCTCCAAAGATACTATGATTTTTGTCCCCTTGACCTTGAAGTTTGACCTAATTTTTCAAATAATAATAACATTGTTAATAACTTTTGAATAATAAGAGATAGGACGTTTATATTTGACTTGTGCATTACCTGTGACAAGACATTTCCGAACATTTTATGATATCTGACCCCGTGACTTTCACACTGAAGTTTGACCTAATTTTCAAAAAATGAACATGGGTGATAACTTTTAAATGAGAGAAGAAAGGACGTTCTTATTTTTACGGGTGCAGAATTAACCTGTGACAAAACCTTTCCAAATGTCTTATGATATTTGACCCAGTACCTTGACCGTCAAGTTTGACCTAACTTTAAAAAAAATTATCATGGCTGATAACTGTTGAGGGAGAGAAGATAGGGCATTCATAATTATCATGTGCATTACCTGTGATAAGACGTTTCCAAACTTACTATGTTTTTTAACCCCCTGACTTTGATCTTGAAGTTTGCCTAATTTTCAAAAAAATTAATATCACTGATATTTTTTGAATGAGAGAAGATATGGAATTTATATTGATATGTGCATTACAATATGCTATAAATACCATAAATAGTTGCTTCCCAACCAAGACACGGAAAGCGGGGGGCCACAATTCTTTGAATTTGGTTGTTACACTTTAAATCAAGTTATGAAAAGATATGTTTATTTACACCTAACCTTCCAGGTAAATTGACCATTGTTTGTTTTCTTTTTTTCCCCTGTGTACACTGATTGGATCAAAAGTCGAATGATCAAGAACTTTTATTTTTATTTTGGTTCCGCCCTTGTCACTGCGTTGGGCTAGGAAAGCAGTCAAGATATCGATGGTAAGGTTTTCTTAAAGAGATTGTATCATTTAATCATTGATTAAATCATGTAATAAAACAATTATTGGGTTTTTTTGTCAATAAGATGATTTAGCTACCTGAGGAAAATAATATTCACCAAGCCCTTTGCTCCAAGGCAAGGCCATGTTAGTCGTATTGATAATGGAGCATCCCCATGGTGTGTGGATTCAGATACCCCTTAAAATTAGGATGGGGCCTTAATATGGGGTCACAACTTTTCAAGGGAAATAAAAAATCTTTCAAAAATCTTCTGAAGAGCAGCAGAGCTTAAATAATTCAGGTGAGCGTTGTGGCCCATTGGCCTCTTGGTATAATTCTGATGGAACAGATATCTAGCAAAAATTGACTTGCCCATTATTTCTATAATGTTAGGGTACCAATTTCTGCAACTCCTCCTACACCTGAATAAAATTTCACAATCTTTATTACATAGTGCCATTATGCATCTCCTATTTAAGGTTTCGATATGACAGGTAGTTTGTAGTTTCCCAAAGCAAAACATGGACTTTGCCACCGAGCGACAGAGATCAGAAGAAGCGGGGGCATCATTTAGTGAAGTCAGTGCTCACAGTATCTCTAGTTTTGCATTATATTCCATACTGCCTTAAATACGTAACAATGAATGGTGGACTAAGGTGCGAACAGCACTATTTATTGCATGTTAGCAATGATAAGATTCTCAAGGTCACAGTCAATGTCATTTGAATACAATTTCTATTCAGGTAGAATATATCTGTGACAAAATATTTTATTTGTTCGAGACAAATCAAAATCTCAAAATCACAGAGAGAGAGAGAGAGAGAGGCCGAGGCCCATGTGTAAATTGTTTACATTGTTTATCATACTTATCGTCATCATCACTCCCTTTTTCGTCAAATTCTCAACTTCTTTATTGCCTTTTTTACCATACTATACATGTAATTACAATCATTAATCTCTTAAGAATTATAGATACATGTAATTCATTCTCCTAATGGAGGTTTGACATCAATATTTTCCGAGATTGCAAAGTTGTTTTTTTTTTTCATTTTCCATGTTTTCCTTTATATGTAGGTTTAGAAGCACATAAAAAATTGACATAGGTTTGTCAATGTCATGCACATTTGCAACAGGTGGACAAGTCTCAGGATCATGAAGGAATTTTAGACTGAAGTTAAAATATGTATACTGTGATATAAGAATGAATCATAAACAACATACAAAATTTGAAATGTATATTTTCAATTGTTTCCCTTTCATGTTGTTCATTTTCATTTAGTGTAATTTTACAATAAATATTCATTTTATGATCGAAAGACTGAAATTTTGTCATACGTCCAAGACTCCTTCATGATCTTGAGTCCAGGGCCATGACCAGAAAATTGATTGCATGGGTTGTAAGAAAAACCAAGCAGGAACTGTCGTGCTCGGTCTCCTGATTAACACGTGTAAGCCCTGTAACAATCTGCACATAGACATACGGACGACACAAAGATAAGCGTGTCCTGTTGGAGGAAAGACTTCAAAATGTGTAAGTAATAAATGAAAAGTAGAAAAATAAACATTACATTAGAAAGTTTTCTACATGCTGAAATATCAAAATAGTAAGGATATTCTTCAAAATTGATTATTGCCAACACAATTTTATTTTTTTCTTCTTTGTTTCAATCTGTTATTCAAATGTTTTAGTTAAACATGTTAAATATAATAAAATATCATCCTTTCACAACGAATTAAATTTTGAAAAAATAACGAAATTGGTCTTAATTCTATTTACTATAGTAATTGAAAGTTTTCATTATTCTTTATGTTTCAGTGGTCCAGATTGTCACTGCCTGTGTCTTATTAATTGTCCACGAAGTCCTTGGGTCAGTGCCTGGTCAAGAATATTTTTATTTGTTTGTAATCCCTGAACTAACCTTCCATCAGTTAAAATCCCAGTACTACACTTCAAACAGTTTGTAATCCCTGTACTACCCTTCTAACAGTTTGTAATCCCTGTACTACCCTTCTAACAGTTTGTAATCCCTGTACTACCCTTTTATCAGTTTATAATCCCTGTACTACCCTTTGTAATCCTTGTACTACACTTCTAACAGTTTGTAATCCCTGTACTTTGCTTCTCTCAGCTTGTAATCCCTGTACTTTGCTTCTATCAGTTTGTAATCCCTGTACTATCCTTCTATCAGTTTGTAATCCCAGTAATACCATTTACCGGTCAGGGTAGCCTAGTGGTAGGGCGTTCGCTTCGTGATTGGGAGGCCTGGGTTCGATTCTCCTTCGCTGTGCCGCGTCAAACCTAAGACGTAAACATAGTAATGACTGTTCCCAAGTGGCCAGCATTAGAAGTTAAAGTATATTAGACCTTAAAAACAGAGGCCCCTTGTCACGGTAGGCTTTGGATAAATAATGAAACATCACTGCTCAATGGCCATGAGTGCCGAGTCTACCCTTCCAATGCAAGCTTTTGTAAAATCTGTACTACCCCTCTAATAGCAGCAATTATGTAACCTTCTCTGATATTTTTTATCTGATGTTTTCAGGAAAGGTCTCCCAAACAGAAATCGGAGAGGGATACATTATTGCAGCTACCCTTCTAACAGTTTGTTATGCCTGTACCTCCCCTCTAACAGTTTGTTAGCAGACCTGTTTTTGTATTCAAATGAAGCAGAATTTATTTTTTTTAAAAAAGAAATCTTCTACAAAAAAGGAGGAAGTCTCTTGCTGTGGCTTCAATTCGACATTAAGATATATCGAAGATGTTTCATTTAAGAAATAAATAACAAGTTTAAAAACTTCAATGGGAATTGAAGTGGGTCGGTCACGTGATCAAATCCTGTGAAGGCCGAAGGCCTTCTCAGAAGATTTGATCACGTACCGACCCACTTCAATTCCCATTGAAGTTTTTAAACTTGTTATTTATTTCTTATATATACATTTGAGACGGACAAATGAATGTAATCGAATATGAATATTGCACTAACTGTGCGTCGTAGATTTTGACAAATTACGCTAGGTGTAAATCGGCTTGAAAAGCGGTTACGCTTCAAATTCCTCTGGCAAAGGATTCTGTTTTGAAGGGAATATTATGTGAAAGGCTACTTGTGATCAATTATAGTGAGCATATTGGTGTCTGGGAATTTTTGTATTCATGAGAACCGATATTCGATGTTAAAAACACAAGAAACACGTCCGATGTTTGATAATAAAAAGTTGGAGGAATTTCGGTCGGAAAGGGATGGATGGAGACACTTGTCCAGACCAGATAACTTGAAATCAAGTACAAAATTTGATCAAAAACATAAAATCTACGATTTCAGTAAGGCATATTTATTAATTTATGATGTTGACACGGAGACACTGGCGACAGCTCACATTGTTAAGACAACGTCATCTCGATGATGGAGGTGTGCCTACCGAACTTCCAAAGTGCAGTGTTTGTCAGCTGTTTGTGGCGTGATTGCATTACATTGATATTTTTCAACAGATTTTCAAATTTATTGTGAGTAAAGTTTAATGAAAAAAAATTATAGCATTCAGAGGTCTACGAGAAAAATAAGGGTAAACGTTGAGACTATGCAGCTCAGACATGAAACTTATAACACGTAGTTTTCTATTCTCTATGTAAAATCGATCAAGAACTGTATTAAATACTCGTTTACATTGTAAATAAAATGATTATTATTTTACTTGCGTGTTTTGTACATTTTTATGCATGAAAAAACATGCTATATTGCTTAGTGGAGTAAGTCTTTTTATGTAGATATTACTGCGCTGTGTGATTAGGTCACGTAATGACCTATGACCTTCGAAAAACTTCATACAGGTATGAAGATATTTGCTCTCTGCATGTTTATATAATAGAGAGATACCACAAATGTATATATTAATTAACAATATTCAGTTTCATTCCTCCGTTGATTCGACATATCCCATTGAACTCAAAATGGAAGACACCATAGTCTGGTCCATCTGTTTCATATTTGATGTTTTATTAAAGACATTAATTGCAAACTGACAACTAAACTTTATGATAAACCTGATCACTTTAATTTTTCTATCGTAACTTCCCTCATTTATATGGCAATATTCCATTATCATCTGCCAATGGAGTTTATATCTCCCAATTTCGATACGCAAGAGTATGTTCTACGTACGAAGAATTTCGAAAACAAGGCGGGTTGTTAACAAATAAGTTGATGATAAAAGGATATCAACAATCTCATTTCAAGTCAACACTTCGCAAGTTCTATGGACAATATATACATTTGTGGTATCTCTCTATTATATAAACATGCAGAGAGCAAATATCTTCATACCTGTATGGAGTTTTTCGAAGGTCATAGGTCATTACGTGACCTAATCACACAGCGCAGTAATATCTACATAAAAAGACTTACTCCACTAAGCAATATAGCATGTTTTTTCATGCATAAAAATGTACAAAACACGCAAGTAAAATAATAATCATTTTATTTACAATGTAAACGAGTATTTAATACAGTTCTTGATCGATTTTACATAGAGAATAGAAAACTACGTGTTATAAGTTTCATGTCTGAGCTGCATAGTCTCAACGTTTACCCTTATTTTTCTCGTAGACCTCTGAATGCTATAATTTTTTTTCATTAAACTTTACTCACAATAAATTTGAAAATCTGTTGAAAAATATCAATGTAATGCAATCACGCCACAAACAGCTGACAAACACTGCACTTTGGAAGTTCGGTAGGCACACCTCCATCATCGAGATGACGTTGTCTTAACAATGTGAGCTGTCGCCAGTGTCTCCGTGTCAACATCATAAATTAATAAATATGCCTTACTGAAATCGTAGATTTTATGTTTTTGATCAAATTTTGTACTTGATTTCAAGTTATCTGGTCTGGACAAGTGTCTCCATCCATCCCTTTCCGACCGAAATTCCTCCAACTTTTTATTATCAAACATCGGACGTGTTTCTTGTGTTTTTAACATCGAATATCGGTTCTCATGAATACAAAAATTCCCAGACACCAATATGCTCACTATAATTGATCACAAGTAGCCTTTCACATAATATTCCCTTCAAAACAGAATCCTTTGCCAGAGGAATTTGAAGCGTAACCGCTTTTCAAGCCGATTTACACCTAGCGTAATTTGTCAAAATCTACGACGCACAGTTAGTGCAATATTTATATTCGATTACATTCATTTGTCCGTCTCAAATGTATATATAAGAAATAAATAACAAGTTTAAAAACTTCAATGGGAATTGAAGTGGGTCGGTACGTGATCAAATCTTCTGAGAAGGCCTTCGGCCTTCACAGGATTTGATCACGTGACCGACCCACTTCAATTCCCATTGAAGTTTTTAAACTTGTTATTTATTTCTTAAATGAAAGTGTATGCAGATAAAAAGAGCACATGACGGGTGTGACCGGTCTTCACGACACTTTATCCTACCTCTTTTCAGAGGACCTTGTTGGCTCTGCTTATTATTTGTATATCTTAAATGGAATGTTCGTTATCTTCAGATTTCATTTTAATCTAGACAAGAAAAAGTATATTGTCAAACGTAAAGCATCGCAACTAAAGCATCACGTAACCTCAAAAAATGCAAAACGCATACTTTAACACACGTATCAGCGATGATCGTGACATTGTACATATGGCATTTGATGAAAACGCAAAGGAGGGTTAAATGATTATATCATTTTATTTTTAGTTATTTTAGAAGAGATATAGAAGAACTGAGGTCACAACAAGTCACAGTTTAAAATGAGTGATTTACAAACAAAATACATTTTGTTATATGTATAACGATATTGAAAGAATAGTTAACCAGATCAGCTGAATATTAACACTTCTAAACTTTTTCTGCAGTGGCTTTTCAAATATGCTTTTATATCTTTATTACGTTAACGATAGGGCTGGTTTGACACTGGAGCAAATGGCGGCACAGGTAGTTCACAGAGTGAATCCAAGGGGTTCCCACGTGACCTATGACCAACTACGTCACTTCCTCAATGTCAACTATGACAAGAATCGTGAGAGAACAATTACATAAATAATTAACCTGTGTGAAAATAAAAGTAACCTTAGTTAAACTACATTACCATAATCTTAATACGTACTTTTGTTTTAAGGCAGCGAGTACATAAAGTCCGGTTTCAAGTGGAAAAATAAACACTGCGTCTGATTAGAATTAAAAATTATTATAATAAAGTTTCAACCATTTTCGTATGGTTGTCAAAATTTATAAAATGATTTAAAATCTTCGTGATTTTATACAGATGACGGGTGTGTAACTTATAGTGAGTTTACGGCTGTGTGGACTGTTGTTTACCACGACTCCATAGAAACATCCACCAAATTCGTCACGAATATGGACATGGACCACGACGGCTGTCTAGATGATATCGAGGTTCTGGTCAACGGGGCCAGAAATAATCATCACCTTAAAATAGGTAAGGGATTTTCTCACTATCTTAAAAGCCTTCACTGTATAGATGCAGTCAGGTTATTTTTTATAGACTGCAATGATCGCCAACCAAAAGGGACAAACAGAATAAGAATCTTTTTATGAACTGCTATTCTGACATTGTAAATCGGCTGTGGTTATACATTATACATTTGCATAAAATTTGAATCTGACTTTAGATTTTGAATACCTAACTGTTTTCCATGTTGACAATATTTACCAGCACACGCTAATCAATTACATTTAGGGATATCATAAAAAGTTAGGAAATTTCTCAGAACCTTTTATGCCACGTATCACGTGACCTGATTTGTCTGACATGTCTGCAGGTTATCCTTTGGGAGCCCATGACTTTGGACTTGTATTGGAAGTTGTAAGTGTTTGCTAACAACCAATCTTTAATATATATATCGAGTATTTGGAGGAAAGGATACTTAAAATATATTAACTTTTATGATCAGTTCAAAATTTACCTACTGAACAGTTTTAGCTGTTTGATTAAGGAGAAAGTATTTTGGCTGCATTGATTGCAAGTTTATATCACACAGTACCATCCCACGGTGAGCGCAGTCGGGACTTCGCCAGACCCAGGAGTTGTAGGTTAACATCCTCACGACAAACAAAAACTTCACTGGAGGAATTCAACGGCTAGTGAAACGCCTGTATCAATCAAAAATAAAGATTTTTTCACTGCTCCCTATTACCAGTAATACATTCAAATGGCCTTCCGTTCCAATATGTAGTTTTCCTCAGGAGTTCTTTCGTTTGAGTGTCTTTGCATGCCCTCGAAGATTCCTAATGAACGTTTTCTGACCATGCATAAAGCCCAGGTCTATAAAGTATTGGGGGACCCAGCCCAACTGAAAAAGATAGTCATGCTTAGAGGTAATTCACAAGTTTGGCTATAAAATCTTTACTCACATATATATGCTACTGTAACTAAATAATACTTGCTTTTAAATCGACGGCAAAGAACCAAACAAACGTGCTTCTGTCGGGGTTGTCTTTATTTGGGATAAACATCATCCCTGATGGATAGAGATGTCCACTGGAAATGTGTTCATATTGATAGTTTAATTAATGACTTCTACAATAGATTTTCAATATTTTTGCAAGAAAGTTTTTTTTTCTCAATTTTTTAAAGCATGACATACATCATGTCATATTAATGAAGCTAGTTCTCGATTGAACATATTAGCATTTAGTGACATATTCCAAACCTTATCATAGAAATAGGTACCGTATACTGATATATATTTTTCTTGCGGTTTTATTTTTGCTAAAAAATATTAACACCATTTTGAAAGTTAGCTATAGGCAGATAAAAATGAACTTTAAACTTAATTTGTTGGCAAATAAAGTAAAACCAAAGCTATGCATAATGTATTTAAAAACTTTTGCAAATACGTGGTATACACTTAATAACCTTTTTATTCGCGAGAATTATATTTTCGCGTATTTACGTAAAACTGTCTGCTCCCAAAATGATCACTCTTACGTATACTTGTAGTTTTAAAGACTATACGCAGCAATGACCGATATTCGTAAAATTGCTTTTACATATACAATTATACATCTTGCAAAAATAAAGTGTCGCTAAAATTTAGTGATCTACAATAATTGTGTACTTGATATACAATATTACGTCACAATGTCCTCTGGATCCGGGTATTTGGGAGACACCAGTGATGACGTTGCAAGATTAAATTTTCCATTCCTCTTTGACCACTGTCTGGCCAGAAGTAAGGAACGAGATGACATCAGGCCAGCGATTTCATGCATCGTCTGACGAACTACATCTGTACAGGAATTCACCTGTTCTAGCAGCTGGAACAAATTTTTAACCTATTCTATAACAGGCGAATTTCATTTACGTCTTTAAAGAATGTACATAGTGATACATAGTGATAAAAAAGCATAATCATGCGTTGAAGCTAGTATACCAAATCTTAATATACTAACTGTAGCCCAGCATTTCATAGAAAGTCGAAGGAAAATGGTTAAACTTTCATTGTTACCTCGACTTCTTTCATGTCTTTATTCCAGCTAGCTGTATCATTCACATTAATCACCATATCTTCCCATAACACGCGGGCACTGGCATCAACATCCGCCTGTGAAACAGAGGAACTTATCTGATATATTCTTACTGCGTCAATGTTATCAGCTATAATCATACAGAGTGATCAGTGGGATTGTTGTCTTCCATAAAGGGTTAGCTTACTGTGATACAATAAATTTTCAGTATGTATTTGGTGTGAATTGTAATATTCTCTGTTTTACTTACTGTTACACGATAGATTTTCAGGTCCCACTTGTACATGTACTTGGAATGGATTGTAATATTTTCCGAGGTGTCATCATCCTCTAGGGACCATTCACTATTGTCCTCATCAAGCTCCACCAGTCCATTGGTCGCTTCTACTCCAATCTTGTAGAACTCCATCTTTTCAGCATTCAGGTCTGTTTGAGGACATTTTAGAGGTACATTCCACTGCTTTTTGTCGTCTTTTGAATATTTTGTTGGTGATATGGTTTTTTCATACTGTGTGATGCTTGTCTCTGTTGTTGTAAGTTGTATGGTTCTTGTGCCTGAATGAGCGTTTGCAGACATTTCTTTTCTCGTGCCTGTTGGATCAAACATTTTTTGTGAGGTTGTTTTCTTTGTTTTCTCATCTGCTAATGACACCTGAACATTAGAAACTACCGTTGGTCGTGGTGTCTGTGTCTCTATGGAAATTTCCTTTCGCTTGCTTGCTGGAATTACTTTGAAAGTTGATTCTGATGCAGAATTTTCATTTCTTTCGATATCAGTTGAATGATTGGGATCTAATCGACTGGAAACAGAAGTACTGGTGGAGAGTTTGGAAAGTTTAGCTGCAGTCTTCCCTTCATTATTCACCGGAGTAATAGAATGATCTGATGAATTCGTTTGTAATTTTGAATATAGTACATAAAATTTACTTGAACGATACTTAAATGGCGTCCTAGGAGTTGATGTAATGGAAAAGGGATTTTTAGTGGATGACGTTGGGGGTATTCCCTTTCCAGATATTGTAACCTTAGCAATTCCTTGGGATCTGGTTGAATATTTCTCAATTTCCAGAGCTTGCGTTAAGAATGAGATTTGTGAACTAGTTGACTCTGAAACTGATTTTGATGTCAGCATCGCTTTAGATGGTGATTTTGCTGAAGTGTTTGATAAGCCGGAAGTAGTCCGTTTTACTTCTGTGCTTATTCTTGTAGATACTGCATTTTGTGTCACTGGATATTTTCTGGTAAATTGAGGTTTAGTTAGTGTTCCCTGAGTTGACAACACCGATGACTGTGATACAGAATTGGTGGACTTTATAATTTGAGGGGATAAAGGTGAGGAGATTCTTGATTGTGGAGAGTGGGATGATTTTTTCTTAGAAACCTTGTTTCTTAACCGTGTTGTCGGACCTTGTTCTACAGATGTGTTCAACAGTGAATAAGATCTCAACGTTACATCGTTATTGGGCTGTAAGGATGATTTGGCTGTTATTATTGTATGTGCTGTTGGAGTTACTGTTGATTTGGTTGTTCTTGGTGTTGATGGTGTAATTGATGATTTGGCTGTTGTTGATGTACGTGTTGATGGTGTAATTGATGATTTGGCTGTTGTTGATGTATGTGTTGTTGGTTTTATTGATGATTTGGCTGTTGTTGATGTACGTGTTGATGGTGTAATTGATGATTTGGCTGTTGTTGATGTATGTGTTATTGGTTTTATTGATGATGAAGCTATTGATAATGTATGTATTGTTGATGTTAATAACGATTTGGCTGTTGTTGATGTATGTGTTTTTGGTGTTATTGATAGTTTGGATGTTGTTGCTCCATTTGTTGTTAGTGTAATTGGTAATTTTGTTGTTGTTGAAGGTCTGATTGTTTGTGTAGTAGATGGTCTTACTATTGGTATTGTTGTTGGTTGTTTCAAAGGTTTTCTTGAGGATCTCTTGGTTGTTAATGATAATTTTGTTATAATCAATGGTTTTGGTATTGGAGTTCTTGTTGATCCTGTCATTTTCAAAGACTTTTTTGTTGAATTAGATGATTTTATTGCTGGTGTTGTTGATAATTTTGATCTTGTTTGCATTGATAATGACTTCGCTTTCGTTAATAGTGATTTAGTTGTTAGTGTTGATATCGTTGGTGTTTTAAATGATTTTCTCTTTGATGGTTTTGTAGTTGATTTTAATGATCTATGTCTTGATGACCATATTGTTATGAGTATTGATGATTCTGTTTTAAGTGATAAGGGCGTTAATGACAATATTGCTGATGATTTAAGTGATCTTTGTGTGGTTGTTGATGATTTTATTGATGTTGATGGTGATAATGATCTTATCACTGGTTGCTCTGTTGTTGTAAATATTAATAATTTTGTTGTTAATGATAATTTTTGTACTGATGATGTAGATAATTTAGATAAATTCTCTGAATCTGGTGGTGATGTTGATGATTTTATTGATGATAATCTTGTCGATGGAGATGGAGATATTGATGTCCTTTTCACTAATAATGATGATTTTGCTGTTAATGTTGAATACTTTTGAGGGGAGAATGATGTCCTTTGTTTTGGAGTTGACACTCTTTTGTTTCCTTTTCCTGATAGTGGGGGAGACTTGCTGTCTATCAATACTCTTTTTCCAGATTCGGATTTTGTTGGGTTAGTTATGAGGGAGGAAACTAACGTATATCCGTAAGTGTTTGGAACTGAATCAGCTTTAAATGATTCAGAAACTTGATGAACACTGTTTTTTGTTGCCGTGTTAACCCTGAAAGTCCGTGTTGGATCCTCCAGTACAGAATCTTTTGCATTGGTTACATTAGGTAATGTACCATGTTTCGAAGAAGATGCGGTGAGATTCTCGTTTGATTTGTCTTTTATCTTCTTGTCACTTGTGTATAACCGCTTTGTTGAAACCGTTATTCCCTGTTCCTCTATCGACTGTAGGCCAAGATTAAAGTCATTTTCCTTCTGAAGTGTGTGCTGTTGGTATGTTCTGAAAAGTACCATATTTCAGTCACCAAATTGGCGCTAAAGATACTGTAGCTGTACTTTTGTGTTACTATTGCGTATCGAGAACTATATTGAATTGTTTGAATGAGAATTTCTTAATTTTGTTTCGTTTTTGTGGATGATATTCATTTTTTTTGCCAAATGCCTTTTCCTCTGTAATCTTAACACTTGTAACAGTTTTATTAACTATTCATTTTAGTTTGTGTTGATTAAGAATATTTCTTACGTTTTCAAAATGTTGATTATTCCAAACATGACGGCGGCAATTGCAATAGATACAATGATCGCAAGTGGGATCCATCCTAAACAGCAAAGAATTAAAATATACGTTAGAATGCTGATCAGTGCAGTGATTAAAAACAATACTTATATGATCCATTTACCTTGTAGACAGTCTGAGTTGTACTTATAATTTTCTTTTTTCTTCTCAAACGGGTAACCATCTGGAATAGAACGAAACACATAAGTTTGTAATGTTTCACAATTTTATACATAAGACATATTAAGTTTGTGAACACATATACTGACGTCATAACTATATTAAAATGCCCACTGAACAGCTTACCAGAAAATCATTATTCTTGCACAAAAATGAAGTAAAGTGAATCAAGCATTTTGCCGACTTGTAATTTTTTTGTCTAGTGTCACTTTATCGTGTCAATGTTTTCATAGATTATTTACATTCTATACTTATCTACGATCTTTGGAGATTTGTAATGATTGTGAGGTACATAAGATAAACTTTTATCTGTTAAATAAATTCAGTAGGTCAAGCCACATAGCTTGACATTATATAACAGTGTCATACACATATAGGAAAAAAGAGAGTTATATTTTAACATACATGTCATTGGTTTAGATACACTCGGTAAATCTAAAGTATATAATGAAACATGATATACTGGACACGATATTCATATTTAACTTCAGTACAATGGACATTACATAAAATTAGTAACCTTTTTCCTCATACAAATTTATAACCAACGAAATTTATAATTTTCCTGCATGAGGCATTAGGAAATACAATGATTTAGATATGTATTTAACCTAGTCATTCTGCCTACAATGTTCTCTGTTAGGTTGAAATAGCATGAACCTAAATTAAAGTAAGAAGGCCACAGCCAAAGCAGTAATGCTATTTTTTGGTCCTTTTCCTGACCTTAAATAAAATACCGGTACGATTCTTTAATAAAAAGAGATATATCTATATATTTAGCTCCGTTTAAGAATGTAAAATGCAATATATTCGTAATCGTATTCAATAATGAAAATCTACTCACCGTTACGTTGTATGAAGGGATCGGTCTCCCCGGGTACCTGTATCACTGTTTCCTTTGGGGGCTCCATCATTAGATGACCCTCGTTCTCATTCCTCATCATGTCCCTCTATGGGGATATTTCTGGTATATGACCAATGGTAAATTAATGCCGTGTTACCCACTTTCATTATTTAATGATCTTCATTTGGCCTTTATTTCGTTATCATCACTATTGTACACTGAATGTTTACTCAGTGATAAAGAAGTGCTAGTCTTTACCAGTTATTAGTGCACTCATCAATGAAAAATTAAATCCCGTTCGTTGATCTTTCTTAAGAAGGCTGGGGGATTGTGGCCATTTTCAGACTATATTGATCTCCTTTAGAAGAAGAGCTCCATATAAAGATATACAAAAATGATCAAATTTTAAAACTAAAATTTATGAAATTTTTCCTTGCCAAATTAAAGTTGAAAGCTTAAGATATCATACCTAAAAAATTAAGTTATATCTGATGGTTAATTTGTTGACCTCCCAGCCTCCTTAAATATACACCCCATCACCAACTCTTTTCTTCAAGGAAAAGACATTGCATTCGATTATCCTTTAAAAATCAATAACACTGAATAGACGATATGAAATTATACAATTCCACAGCACTTCATATTTCTACTCTGCCCCTTTTCTTTCACCTACTGAATACAATGCAAAGTTTATGAATTGCATTTGATGATGTCTAAAACATTCCAAAAAGTGAAAACCATGTGTAGAAAAAAATACAGGGAAATCTTTCTTAATTTTATTCGTTTCAAGTTGGATCAAATGAGGCTTTAAAGTTACTTTGAAATGAACCTACTCCAAAAAACTTTAACTTGATCATTCATTTGGAAATGTAGGCCAGATACTGTCTGGTAGTAAGCATCCCTAAATGCATCATCTATGCGAATTCAGTCACCATAAGGCTTAATGTCTCAAAAACTTGAATCTGTTCAATTATCCAACAAATGTGGATCAAATCAAGCAGACATGCTCCAAAAAATTTAACCTTGTCACTCAACTGGAAAATATAGGTCATATCCAGCACCTGAAACATGTCTCGTAGTGTGCATCCTTAGATATATCATCCAAGCAATACTGGTCCAGGAAAAGCTTACAGTAACTTGGTAATGGACCTGTTCCAAAATGTAAGTCAGATCAAGCATCTGAAGCAAGTCTGGTTGTGTGTAATCCTAGATGCATTATTTATTGTACTTTGGTCAAGGTAGGTCATATAGTTATTTGTGAATGGACCTGCTCCAAAATGTAGGTCAGATCCAGCATCTGAAGCAAGTCTAGAAATGTCCATCCGTACATGCATCATCCATGCAACTTTGGTCCAGGTAGAGCTTACAGTAACTTGGAAAGAGACCTGCTTCAAAATGTTGGTCGGACCCAGCATCCAAAGCAAGTATGCTTGTGTACATCTGTAGATGCATCATCCATGCAAGTTTGGTCACCATAAGGCTTACATCTATAGTTTCCAGGGAAGGGATCTCCTCCAAAAAGTTAAACCTGGTCACTCAACTGAAAAATATAGGTCATATCCAGCATCTGAAGTACGTCTGGTAATGTGCATTCAGATATGCATCATCTATGCCAGTTTGGACCTCCTCAAAAAGTTAAATCTAAAATGAAGGTCAGATCCAGCATTGAAGCAAGTCTGATTATGTGTATCCCTAGATGCATCATATAGCTTTGGTCCATGTAGGGCTTATAGTTACTTGGGATTAGACTTCCCCAAAAAATTCTTAACTTGGTCACTCATCTAGAAAATGTAGGTCAGATCCAGCATCAAAAGCATGCATCCCTAGATGCATCAAGTTTGGTCACTAAAGGACTTATAGTAACTTGGGAATGAATCTGCATAAGCTCATCTCGACTTCATGAAGGTGAGCTATAAAAAATCCTTACAACAGAAAATTCCTTAAGTAACAGAGTTCATTATAACAGTTTTACTTCATATACATAATTCACATATCACACTCACCTACTCTATAACTCTGAATCAATTTATTTCTATTAAATTTTGGATTAAATATATTATAAGAGTAGTCCTCCTTTGCTGTTCTAGACATTGTGCATTGTACAAAATAAAAATATTTTAATGTTGCCTTTCCCATGGTTGGCAGTGTCCGACACACGGATATTCTTATGTTGGGGTCCTGAATTTCCTGTTTATAGATATATTCGTTGGATATACCAGTTTTTTACGGTACAAAAACTGAATTTTTCTAAAACTATATGCATGTATATGTGTATGTGTGTTGAGTTTATTCATCTCATACCTTCCTCACAATCTTTTCATATATACCATTTTTGCATGCACAGCTTTTCACAAGTTATCTCTCCTTGCCCATTAAATGAAATTCTTATTCACCAAGAAAATTCTTTACAAATCCTAACCATACATAGATTACATAATTCTGGAATCATACTCACTTAAACAATGTTAAGCGAGTTAAACCCTGCCAAATAATTCCAAAATCTACCGAGATGATATATGGATATAACAAACAGCAAACAAGCTCAAAGTCCATTGAAACAATACAAATCAGGAGCAGAGCAAACACGGACCTCTAAAAAAATCAGAGGTGGGATCAGGTGCCATGGAGCAGTAAGCATCCCCCATCCACCGGTCACACCCATCGTGTGCTCATTGTCATGGTCTGGCAAACAGAAAAATCTGCAGACAATTCAGTGTTGAAATGATGGCTAACCATACTTCAATGTCTCTATATGCAGAGTTGCCAATGCCATCATCATGAAATGAAGACTTATAAAAGGGTCAGAAGGCTGCTTAGGCCCTGTCTTCTAAGTTTTCCTAGAATGGACATTGTAGGCGCAACTTCTAGTCCTAATTTTGATTTGTATTCATAAATGATGATAGTGGCCAAAATGCATGTAGGCAACACCATTTGTGATTTATCTGTTCTCCAAAATTGGGAGTGCCATATAACCTGCCTTCTTCTAATGTACATCAAATAAAGTTTAATCATTCTATACCTCAAAGCATTCAAGGTACCCGAACATAAAAAAACAGATGGAAAGACAGACACAAAAAGATGAGCATAAAAAATACTCATAGTTGCAACAGTCAAAGGAAAATAAATCTCCATCAACTTTGCTGTTGGGTATAAATTCATCATTATCAAATAGGTATTTTTATTTGGACATGTTAATTGACAATATATAAATGTAAATACATCACAAACAGATCACAAAAAAGGGGGGGGGGGGGGGTACAGTAAAAGTGTGTATATAATAATAAGCTGTTCATTAACAAGAAAATATACATGAATTAGTGAAAATTTATAATCTCTGTTGATTTTATCTAATGCACATTAACATCATTATAATTTTATGCCTTTAGAAGGCTGGATCATTTTGTAATTTACACAAACATTTATAATAAGATGTTAACATATCATATATTAAAATTTTCCTTTTTCAATTCCTACTTACAGCTATACAGATGAGGAAAGCACAACAAGCTGTCACAAATTCTAACCATTATCAATTATTGAGAGTAAAACTTTGTTAATATACAAACAATCAAAGAATCTTAACAGTATATATTAATATTATTAAAATTAAAAAAAAAATTAGAAAATCTGACACTTGTCTAAATTCTTAACAGATACTTAACCTAGAAATTACGCACTACAAAATTAATATTAATATTCAAATAAAAAATAAGATTTTAATCCAAGAAATCACTCTGAGTTTTTACAACTTTTACCCTAGAATAACTAAAAAATCTTTTGCTTTGAACTTTTTTCTTCAAAATTTATGGCACCTAAATACCATATCGAAGGACACATTCGAATACTTGACTATTTAGACCCTGAATGCACAAATCCTACGCCTCCTCAAAACAAATCCCATAGAAATGTTAACAACTGCACAACAAATTCATAATGATCTTACAATATATAGCATATAACATGAAATAAGCTAAAATGTTACACAGATTATTGATAGCTGATAGACATTGGCAAGGACCCAACATTCACTCCTGGAAATGAAGATTTCAGGAAGAATACATCACATGCATACATATACCAGATGTGGTACAAATCTCAACTCTACCAAACATAAATACTAGTAGGAATTGTGTTTACCCATAACCATATAGTTTTGATATTAAAATCACTAGCTATACCACAACAACTATGGGTACACTGCAATCACCATCATATAAAAAACAAAATAAGGTGTTTATTAAAGGTTATATTTCTAACAATACTTTTATTGGGGTAATAAAATCTGAAGGTCAGATAAAACATGAAGGTTGAACTTCAGATATTTTTTTTATTGACAACCCATACATTGATTACAAATCAATTCATTCAAAAATAAATACAAGCTTGGAAACAAAGCAATTTATCACAGGTGGTGAGACCATCCTTGCTAGGGCTGTATCAATATATCGATATATCGATACGTACCAATATTCAAGAATGTACCGTATCATAACTTTCAATACATATCGGGAAGGAAGTGTTTCTTAAAATTCTTTGAAAAAGTTGGGAATTTCATTCACCAAAGATTATATTTAACTGTTTTGAATTAAAACTGATCAATAATGATATAAACATTAAGGAGATCACAAATCTTTAATAATTATTACAAAATGCATAGACAACTATATTGTAAAATGTTGGTTTTACAGTTAAAAGTTTAAATTTGAAATGTACTTTATCATGACAGTGAGACAAGAACTTCAAAATGGTTATAAAACACTCAGTTTTTATAAAATTTATGCATTAAATGATTTAAAAGATTTTTTTGTTAGACTTGTTAAAGAATCCAATATATTGCATAATGCTTTACAAAATATCGTATTGTATCGTACCAAAATTTTTTGCTCAATACACAGCCCTAATCCTTACAAGCCCCAAGAGAGAGAGAGAGAGAGAGAGCAATTGGATTAAAAACCTGTGGTTTCCAATGATGGCAAAAGTCATACAAAAGAACATACAGATATTATTAACCTATATTCAGGGATAAAAACTATCAAGACTTCCAATTAGTAAACACTGAAACAACAAAGCAAGGACAGGCCTGAATATTTGGGAGGCAGGTCTACTGTACCCTTCCCTACCCAATTCTGAACAGCCTCTCTACCCAATTTGATTATATGCAAAAGAGGTATATATTGTTTACTACATATTCTTAAATTGAATTCAAACTTACTTTCTCAATGGAATTTATAAACTTGAGAGGTAATCTACACAAGTATGTAACAATCTGTAAAACCAGACCAATAACTGCATCATGCTTAAAAATAGAACGCAATTTTTTTTTTAAAATTACTGCTACATTACTGGGACAATATCTGCCTTTGAATTGTCAGATAACCATTCCTGCAATTTTAGAACTTGCACGAAGTTTATTGATTTGTCTGATTTAAATTTGCCATGGTGAACAAGAAAATGCAGATATAATGGGGGCCATCATTTCTCTGTGATGTTAAGAGGTAGGAAGACTAAACATATAAGGCAAATATTTCTACACATGAAGTGATACATCTTAATCAAGTGACAGGGACAGAAAAAAACACCAAAGCCACAGGTGACCATACCTCACAAACCCAAATCACTGCTGACCATAGCTTAGAGACTCAAACCACAGGTGTCCATAGCCTAAAGACCCAAACCACAGGTGTCCATAGCCTACAGACCCAAATCACAGGTGTCCATAGCCTACAACCCAAATCACAGGTGACAATAGCCTGAAGACCCAAATCACAGGTGTCCATATAGCCTAAAGACTCAAACCAGATTTGACCAGTTCAACTCCTCAAACCACATGACACCATGGACAAACTGTGGGTGATAATAGCTTAAGCAATTAAGGATGCAAAAAATGTGCTCTTATATTAGTGATATTAATTCTGTGAATATCAATTATATCTTAATTAATTAGCACCTCTTAATAACAAATCAACAGCCATTAATAAAAGGAATTAAATGCAGTTAATCAAATTCATGTAAATATTGATTCATACATGTATAGGCAAAAACCTCAATTACACATGATTACTTCAAAGCTGGGCATTGTGGAACATTTGTGTAACGATTGAACAATGAATAATAAACTAAGAAGCCCTCCAGTAAGCCTATAGAACACTCTGTTTATAAACTGTAGATACCTAGCAATCACTATTTCTTAACTACACAGGTTAGTATATCTTTTTTTTCAACATTTGTAGCATGAATCCAAAGTATTACAAGAAAACTCAAACTGTTATGTACAGGTTTCTAGTCATTTATAAAGAGGAATTTGTATAAAGCTATGATTACAAGAACAGCGGTTAAGTAAGGTAGCACTTCAGTTCACTTGTTAGTAGGTGCGGAATTATCATAAATGTATGTAAAAAAAATAACACCATTCTCTAAGTATACTCTTAACAGCAAATATTTAACAGAAATTTGAGACTACCATATATACTCGCCTAGAAGTCGGTCTGCCTATAAGTCGCTTGTATTTTTTTGAGCTTATATTAGACAGATTGACCCACTAAAATACCAATATTCTTATAACTCGCATATAAATCGGACAAAGATTTTTGGACTAAAGTTTAACTCCCAAAAAACTGACTTATAGGCGAGTATATATGGTATTTCATTTTTCAAAAAATTCTTTTAAACTTTTTGGCATTTTCATTAGAATATAAGCCACAATCATAAAAAAATCAATTTTACATTACAAGTAACACACAGTGCACTTTCGGCTATGTGTAAAGGCTCATTTAATTTGTTGATAAAACAGGCTCCTTTTCACTCCTCAATACCAACAAGCGACACCCCTTCAGCTGTCAATCACTGATAAGCCACATCCCTTAAACTGTCAATCATGGTAAGTCACACCCCTTCAGCTTCAATCATTGATAAGTCATGCCCCTTCAGCTGTAATATTTGGTAAGTCACACCCCTTCAGCTGTCAATCCATTATAAGTCACTTTTGACTGTCACTCATGTGCAATGTGTCCCTTGCTTCCAGCCTCTATGTCAACTCGACAGATAGGACACTTTTTATTTGTTGTCAGCCACTGATCTACACACTGAATGTGGAATAAATGCATACATGGAAGTCGTCTGGAAAAGAGAAAACAAAATTACCAAACAAAACCACTTAAGATGAATGCTAACTCTTGATTTCCAACTACATTTTACACAATCACAATGCAACATGTTTGGCAATTTTCCTTAAGTTTTTTTTTTTAAATGCAAAGTAGACTTTTAGCATAAGTGTTTAATAATTCTAATACCAATAATATACTGTCAGACTGATTTTAATTACAACTCTTTTTGACAAGGGGGTATAAAATTTTGTCCTTTAAACGTCACTGAATTTTAAAATACTAATTACCACTTAATCTTTCAATATGTTTAACGTCTGTAAAATCAACCACATTAGATTCATATCGTAAAAATTTTGTGGTTGGTACTTCATTCACATACGTACCCTCTCCTTTCCCCCAAGAAAATATAAAGTTTTAATTGGTATGAATTCGATACATAAGAATAGTAAAAGATATGAAAACTATTTTCTGTTTTCTATTGATTTCTATAGTAAAATACATGTGTTTTACTGATAATGAAAATATGTATATCTTTCTTAAAAATATTATACAGTTGTAAATACACTTATGTTAGCAGTAATCATATTTGTAGCACCTTAATGCTGCTTCTTGCCTGTCCTATTTTAAGTGCTATTATGTACATGTTCTTATTCATTTAAAATAAGGCCCTGTTTTTATCCAATCATGCTTCAGCATTGTTTTGATCCTACAGATGCTGATGTCACCAAACTTTATTGAAATTCGTTGCCAAAGAAAAACTTATAAAAAAAAAAAAAGGTGGGTGTGACATTTACCTGACATCTTCCTCCATTTCAAACTCACTCAGACAAATTGTGCACTTTTCCTCTTGTTGGTCATCATCCCCATCCTTCTTCATCTACAATATCAAGGCCATTCATTAATTATTTCACCAATTCATTATAAGTATTTCTAGTTCCTTTGTGCTCATTGCAGCTTATGTTAACATCTGGCTTTCTTAAAAATAGGTAACCATCTCAAAGGACAGCTTAGGTAACAAAGTGGTTCAAGAGGACCATGGCCTAATAATGCTTATTGTTTTTTGTTCGGTCACCTGAGTAAACTCAGGTGACCTACTGCTATCTGTTTTCATCCATCATCGTCCGTCGTGTGTTAACATTGAACATTTTCAGCTTCTTCTCTGAAACCACTAAACCAATTTCAGCCAATTTTAGCATATGGCATCTATGGGTGAAGGGAAACAAAATTTTTGAATTTCATTGTCCCTGCCCACCTGGGGCCAGAGGGGTAGGGCTAAAACCATCAAAATTAGTGCTATCTTTAAAAATCCTCTTCTTTACTCCTTGACATCAAGCAGTCAAACTGTTGGCATGATTGTAATAAGCATTGAGCCCTCTACCAAAATTGTGAAATTCCTGGCCCAGGGTCAGGGGTTCTGGTGCTAGGGCAGGGCTCTATTGAATTTATAGTGAAAATGCATTATTTCTTAAACTAGATGTGTCATTAACACCAGGAATACCCCGCAAGCAGCCAAAATTTCAAATGCAATATTTGATTTTAAATTTATATTCAAAAATTAATATTTTTAATAATTATTAAATTTTGAGGGATAACTGTCAGAAATCATCTGACCATGACCAAATTCGAACTTGACCTGCATATTCCTATGACTTATCCATATATCAAATTTGAGTTGAATGTGTGCAACTGTTGCAGAGATAATGAACGGAAAGTGAATGATGACCAGTGATTTTTCTACACCCAATTTAGGTCTGAATATCGGCCCTTTCCCCTCTCAAAAATTACTGATTTTTTCCCAATTTCAGTTGCTTTTTCCCCCAAAATAAATTTGCTGTTGTTTTTGTTATATTGAAATTTTTACGTATGACTTATCTAATATGAAACGCTATTGTTCTTGGTCATGCAGACTCTTAAATTAATGGTGAGGAATAGCAGATTATTTTGTGCATTTACAAGTTGTAGAAACACATATGTTGTGGAAAGATGCATGTGAACTGACAAAACATAGCTTTATTTGTAAATCAAACTAGTAGTAGTTCTACAACATGCATCCCTGATTCCACAAAAATCAAACAGTTTCTACACCCGGCAGATGCAACTAGTACTGCAGAGAAATTGCGGCAATATGATAAGGGTAATTCATAAAGCTTTAATCAGTTAATAATTTGTTAGAAAAATAAATTATTTGTCATTAATCATGTCAGATTATCCCATCTTCAATTGCTATTACGAGAAGGATTTTCTCTTATGTCTACTATTATGGCAAAAAAATTGAAATATAGGACAACTTTCAAAGATTTTTTTAAAAAGTTAAAAATGTAGAACTGTGTCTAATTTGTTATTTTCTAGCAAATAAATTTAATAAATGATGTAACATTTACTTATATATTTTATTTTATCTTTTAAAGCTAAACACGATTCGTAAAAGGAATGTGTCGGCCAACTTAGTCACTGTTCAGTGTAATCAGTCGTCACCTGTGTAGACGGACGTATGCTATACAGCACTCAGTAGCGACGAAAAAATAACTGTATACTTCTTCTTATGCAGGAAAGTAAGATATCAAAGAAACTTACAATAGTTGCACAGGTCAGTGCAGTATACAAACAAACACAAATACATGTAACTGCAATAAAATGTAAACAAAGGTAATGCAAGATAACCAGCACGAACACGTGGGTCGCCATGCCACGCCAATACCCATGACAATAAAGCAGTCGGGTGTAACAAATGCAAGGAGTATACCCAGGTGCTGATATCATAGATAGTAACATAGGTAATCAGAAATTACAGAGCTCACCTCAATGAATATTGTCTTTAAGTAAGGCAAAGTCCCACACTAAACTAATAATCTAGGAGTGTGCATCCCTAGATGCAACATTTATGCAATTTTGGTCTGATAGGGCTTGCAGTTACTTGGGAATAGAATTATCTGAAAACTTAAAACTAGTCACTCATCCAGAAAATGTAAGTCAAGTCCAGCATCCGAAGCAAGTTTTGAGATTGTTCGTCCCTTGATGCATCATCCATGCAAGTTTGGTTCAGATAGGCCTTATAGTTACTTGGAAATGAGATCTGCTGCAAAAACTTTAACCTGGTTACTCATCCGGAAAATGTAGGTCAGATCCAGCATCCAAAGCAAGTCCAGTAGTGTGAATCCTTAGATGTGTCATCCATGCAAGTTTGGTCAAAATAGGGTTTATAATTACTTGGAAATGACATCTGCTCCAAAAACTTTAACCTGGTCACTCATCCGGAAAATGTAAGTCAAATCCAGCATCCGAAGTAAGTCCAGTAGTGTGCATCCTTAGATGTATCATCCATGCAAGTTTAGTCAATATAGGGCTTATAGTTACTTGGAAATGACATCTGCTCCAAAAACTTTAACCTGGTCACACTCATCCGGAAAATGTAGGTCAGATCCAGCATCCAAAGCAAGTCCAGTAGTGTGAATCCTTAGATGTATCATCCATGCAAGTTTAGTCAATATAGGGTTTATAGTTACTTGGAAATGAGATCTGCTCCAAAAACTTTAACCTAGTTACTCATTCGGAAAATATAGGTCAGATACAGCATCCGAAGCAAGTCCAGTAGTGTACATCCTTAGATGTATCATCCATGCAAGTTTGGTCAATATAGGGTTTATACTAGATACTTGGAAATGACATCTACTCCAAAAACTTTAACCTGGTCACTCATCCGAAAAATATAGGTCAGATTCAGCATCCGAAGCAAGTCCAGTAGTGTGCATCCTTAGATGTATCATAAATGCAAGTTTGGTCAATATAGGGCTTATAGTTACTTGGAAATGAGACCTGCTCCAAAAACTTTAACCTGCTCCAAAAACTTTAACCTGCTCCAAAAACATTAACCTGGTCATTCTTTAGCTGAAATTGCAGCATCTGAAACCTTGACTGGTACAATAAAAAACACTAGAAGCATCCTCCATGCATCTCTGACTAATATAGGCCATAGAAGTACTTGAAAAGAAAACTGCTCCAAAAACCTTAACCTGGGACGCCGATGCCGAGGGTATTACATAAGCTCCCCCAACTTCAATATAAAAATTTCCTATTTATGAGTCGTGTTCAGCTTTAATTAAGGTTAATTACAATTTTATTGATTTTTCCCAATTTTACACAAATGTCAATGATTTTTCCCAATTGTAAAGGCCAAGGCCCCTTTTAAAAATTGTAGAAAAATCACGGATGACAGAATGAGGGAATGATGGAACAGGGTAACACTATATGCCCCTGCCATTTCATGGTGAGGGCATAAAAATCTTCTCCTCTGCTCCTGGGAATTTAGCAGATAAACTAAGTGCATGGCTATGATGATCAAGGATGCCTCTTCTTCTGAAATTGTGATATTTGTGGCCCCAGGAGCAGGGTGTTCATGTTGGTGGTGGTGGGGGGGGGGGGGGGGGGACTATTTAATATATATTGGAAATGCTTTTTTTTTTGAAAATTTTCTTCTCTGCCCCAGGATATTTAACAGAAAAACTAATTGCATGGTTTTGATGAGCAAGGAAATCTTTTCAGAAAAGTTGAAATTCATAACCAGGGTCAGGGATTTTGGTGTTAGGGTGAGCTCTTTTGAATATATAGTAGAAATGCATTATTTCTTTTAAAATATTCTTTTCTGGCCATTGTTATTAAGGAAACATAAAAAGTGCATAGTTATGATGAACAAGAGTGCCTCTTCTAAAATTGTGAATATCTTGGCCCCTGGGTCAGAGCTTTGGTATTCGGGTGGGGCTACCGGTATATTGAATCTATAGAAAAATTGAATTATTTCCTAGAAAATCTTCTTCTCTGCTCCTGGGCATCTAAAAGGCAAATAGAGTATATAAAGTTGAAGTAAGCAGGGGTGTTTTTACCACATTTTGAATTCTGTACCCTTTGGTCAATTTATTAATTTCTACTGAAAGAAATTATTCTCCTTTGCTATTCACCTATAATAGTTAAATGTAAATAATGTAACTTTTAAGGTCAATTGAATAACAGAATTATACAAGAAATTTTATAATCTTTAATACAAAAGTACTTTCATAGTTTTTAATGGTCAGGTTAACTTTTAAGTAATAGATAAACGAAAATGGGACAAAAATACCATATCTTTGTACAATAAATAATCTATTAAAGACCAAGAGAGGCCAATTCAAGGGGGGAATAAAATGTGTTAACTAACAGTGCTCTAGAACTCATGTTTTTTTAGTCCACATGAGGACAGTGACAAATGAAGGAAAATACAGGCAAATAAATAGATCAACTTTAAGATCTGTTATTGAGTACAAAATTAATGTTTTGCTGATCCCTGTTTATCCTATTTCTCTTGCTTTTGGGCAACATAGCTTTATTTATCAGCTTATTTTGTTTTAATCTATGGATTGTTACATTATACTCAGGTGACAGTTAAGGCCCTTGGGTCTCTTGTTTATTTTTTTTTTGTCTTTTTTTGGTACATTGAACCAAAACTAGATCGAGAACTTTCAAATTGATATGATAAGTTATGACAAGTTATTTCACCTGCACCCAAACCCCCAGGTGATCGTAACATTTTTTCTATATTGGACCAAAAATAAAATAATCTTGAAATTCCAAATTATTAGAACTGGTTATTATTTTTTTATTTTATTCCTGCTTCTCACTGTGTTCACAGATGTAAACAATGAAGAAAGATGGCAGGGTTTGCTTAACAAGTATATATCATATAGTCATAAAACAATTATTGCTGGGTTCTTCTTAGTAAGACAAGCATGATTTTAGACTTCTTCAAAGTAATCCCAGATATAAAAACTAAAAATCACTAATAGTATGTGAATTTCTTCATTCCTATACTAAGCATCTTTTATGTCACTTACAGGTTTTGGGATTTTTTAAAAAAGTTTCTACCAGAAATTGTGTAAATTCCAGAGAAAATATGATAATTCCAATAAATCATTCCTTTTTATCTCCAACTTTTATCAAGGAAAATGACTAATTTCATCATTTTCCATTAGAATTGGTAATTCATTATTTTAAAAATCAATGCCTTTCAAAAGTGAACAACATTTAGTTTTATAATTTACATATCATTAGCAATGCTTTATTTAAACCAAATAAATACTCAAGCTGACAAAGAGCGGGTTGTCCCGAGACTCACCTTTTTGTACTTGTATGGAAGAGTGTTCATCTCAATGATATCCTGAGTGGCCCCTCGGTTCACATTACCAAGTCTTTCCTCCAAACTCAAGAGCTCCTGTAAAATAGCACTGTTTAAAGCCATTTGTGCAAAGCCCTTAATAACCTTACTGATTCAGAGGAATAAATTATCACTTACAGAAAAACATTCAGTGTAGTACTTTTAACTAACGTAATCACAATATAATATATTGAGGCAAAGCATCAGATCGACAGCAAACTATTCACATGCTGATCATGTTGTCAATGACTTCTGCAGGTGATGCTGCACAGTGCAATAATTTGGACATCACAATAAATGTGAAGAGTCAAAAAATATATAGTTGGGTCAGTAGCATCTGTAGCAAATTCAGAACAAAATTTAGTCCCAACTTTTCTCTTTATTTAAGTACTGTAATTATCCGGAAACTTGTATCGAGTTGCTTAATTAAGACTTCTACATTACACATTCCCTTTCTAGGGAACACTTTTGTACAATCAAAAATTAATATCTGATTAAAAATGACAGAAATACTGAAACGCATTAATGACAATAAATATCACATACACATGTAATATAAAACAATTTTTAAAATTGTTTCATAATTTTTGTGCATGCTATCAATAAGGAATTACTGTATACAGGGTTATATTTGTCCCATATTATTTTCACCCTTTCACACTTGCAAACAATTTTGCCCTGTTTTAGTTAGATAATGATTTTTACTTTGAATTTGCCCCTTTTAAATTTTGTGATGAGGGCAACAAAAGGGGTGAAAAAAAAATGGGGATGAAAATTTCCCCGTCTATAGTATTCTATCAAAACAATAAAAATATGAACGCTTCATTTCCCCATGTGCACATTCTTACACAACCACAAACAGATCCGCTGCGCTGCGGACATTAATCAACATTCCTTAACTTCATTAGTTTGAGGAAGATGAACAATATATTATATATAACCAGGTTAACAGGTATGAGAATATCAGACAATTTATTGAGTGTCAATGACTCAATGGTTAAAGCACTGGCATGGCACACCAGAGGCCCAAGGTACAATTCCTGGATGAAACTTCATTTTTTAACACCTATGACATACACATCATTTTAGCATATAACTTTCAAAGGTTTGCACACCACTTTTAATTTTTTGGATGTCATAAAATACCTTCAAATTGAAAACAAGAGGCCCATGGGTCACAACGCTCACCTGAGTCACCTTGGCCTTACTGTTCTTCTTCAGATTTTTCTAAGTCTTCCCCCCCCCCCCCCCAATTATAATCCACTGAAAAAAATTTTCCCCCATAATATGACCCCATCCTATCCTCAAGTGGTCATGGCTTATTAATAAACAAACTTGAATCCATAAAACATAAGGATTCTGAATATCAATGTGACTAAACATTTAGTATTACTTACACTTCTGCAGAATTTTTAAAAAGTTTTCCCCTAAATACAATAAAGCTTGATTTGTATAAATAGTGAATTTATGGATAAAGCAAAGTTTTTGAGGGTCCCCGCAACATCTGAACAATTCCTCATAAAATTTAACTCATATCATTTTATCTCCCATTTGAAGGGAGTATGACCCTTCATTTGAACAAATTTTAATCCCCTTCACCCAAGGAAACTTTGTGCCAAGTTTGGTTGAAGTTTGGCCAATGTTTCTGGAGAAGAAGAGAAAAATGTGAAAAGTTTACCACAGTAACAATGCCAACAGAAAACAGACATGATGTCAGAAAAGCTCACTTGAGCATTTGGCTCAGGTGAGCTAAAAAAAAAAAAAAGAAAAAAAGAAAACAATAGTCAGCTTTGTGACAATCTTTATTTAAAAATCCTTTTCTTACCTATCCAGGACATGACATTTGATAAATACTGCAATTAAATTATCACATTCTTGAAAGAAAATAGTTCAACACTACATTTCCAGGGAACAAGGATAAAGCAAATTTACACTTATAATCAAGTTTTTTTTGGTCAAAAAAACCCTTCTTGATATCTCTTTTACGAGAAATTTATTGAACAAATTCTGATTTGACTAACTATCAGTTATACCAAACTGATTTATACTCCTCAAATAGTTTACTGTCATCATATCCTCTTTGTTATAACCAATTTTGAAGAATACATACTGGTATCCTTTTCATTGTTTCACAGTATGTCAGATGACTTTGTCAGCAAGATCTGGCTTTTATCTTCTCAAATTTGTAATTCATTGGTAGGATTTAACCTTTTCAGTCAGATTCATAGATTTGTGTATTTTTACTTGTACATGTACATCCATATAAAGTATAGATATAGCCAGAACTAAGGAGTAGGTCTGATATTGTGTACATATTCATATAATTTTATACCTTTGTATTTCCTTTATTTTTTTTCTTAATAATTTTTAGTAAGTGTTCAAACTATATTTCATAGCCAAAGAAACATTCATAAGTCATCACCATAATGCTTTTTTTTAAAAATCCAAAAATAAGAGAATAACATCATAATATACAAATTCTTCTGTTATTTTTTTTTTCTGTTAACAGTTTTAGAAACACTTTGGTTACATTTGTTAATCTCAATAAGCGGCCCTCTTTGATGTCACCTGAGTATCATGAGTTTCTCTTGATATGACCAGCTCAGTTCCACATGGAACTGGAACTCTGGACTCATGTGACACAAACCTGCAGTATAGTGCCTTGGAGAATACAAGTGTGACAAACAGCTACATGTATCAACAATGCAGGGAACACTTAGATTTTTCCTTTCTTTAGTTCTTTCTTTTTTGCACTAAGTTTTATTACTATGAGATCAAAACTGAGAAGGCAAATTTTGAAGAAAAAAAACAAATTAATTTATCTTTAGTAACCATGGCAACACAGTTGAAGGGAATCAAAAATCTGGTGTATTAGGTACAGTGTATCTTGTTGTCAACTTGTTATCAAAGATGAATTAAAAATATAAAGCATTTGCAGTAGGATTTACAATTTGATCAAGTTACTGAAAGGTAGTCTGACAGTTAATTACAGAGATGAACTAATGAATGACAAACAAAACTGCATAAACTTGTCTTTAGTAAATATTTACCTTATCTATAAATTATGAGTGTACATGTTGTATATCAATATGCACTTCTTGGGGATTCATTTTTTTTTCACATGCCCAGGATTTAAAGAATCACCTATAGAAATTCCCTGTGAGGAAAATTTCCAATTCCAAACAGAGTGTTCTTAGCTGGTAATATTCTATTTTTAAAACTATTTGTTTTGGTATCAGCCAAATACTGTACAGGGGAAATAACTCGTGGTGTAAAAATTCTATATATTCACGGTGTTGATAAATCCGTGAATTCAAGAGACAGTAAGTTTTCAATAAAACTTTTAATTTCTTTCATTTATTTTGAAATTTGAGTCTAGACTACCAGTAGATAAATATATACATAGTCATTCAGTAATTACAAGTGGTACTTGTCATTCAATTATTTTAATTATCATTATCTTACATTAAAATCTGAAAATAATGACCTGTATTTATTGTAAAAGCCATTGTTACTTGTTTTTGATCAATCAAAACACAAGGGTCAAAGGTTTTGATTACCATGTGCATTTTCACCTGATCATGTGTATTCATTTTTATTGACATAATATGACTTTTTAAAAAAATACATATATTCATTCAAATAACTTCCAAACTTAAATTGTTTTAGATGCAGAAAGCTATATATATATATATATATATATATATATATATATATATATATATATATATATATATATATATATATATATATATATATATATATATATATATATATCAGGGTTCGAAATTCACTATATACAACTCACAAAACGCGAGTTAGAATTCCTAAATTGCGAGTTAAAAATTAGGTAACTCGCAAAAACTTGCGAGTTGATTTTTTTTTGCATTGAAACTGTAGCAAAAATATAATATATAATATGACAGAACACAATGCTTTTGATTTAAATCAGTAATTTAAATAAAAGTCACACTGTAGTTGTATTTTGTGTATTGAACAGTAGTTACTTTTTCCTTAAGTTACATATTTAATTTACATAAATTTAACTTTATATGAAAATTGCGAGTAGTCTTATAAAATTGCGAGTTCACTTTCTTGGTACTCGCAATTATTTGCGAGTTGTAATTTTAGGGAGTTTCTAACCCTGTATATATACAGTCAAACCTGTATTAAGCAGTCACCTGCGGGAACCATTAAAAGTGACCTTTATAGAGAGGTGACCTTTGAAAAGAGGTTAATCTTTTTCAAGAAAAATTCTTTTCTAATTTATGTAAGTTCTGTGTCTTAAAATACTACATCATAGAATATTAAAGAGAGATGTGTTTTGGACATCAATGGTCTCAGTTAGATTTTTTTTCTAAATTTAAATAGTCTCAAGATTAAGTTCAAGATATATTTGATGACTCCAACTAAAAATATTGAGTCTACTAGGACATTGCATCATCCTCCCTCCAAACAACTACAAAACTTTCTTTTATTGTAAGATACATTATCATGTTGTGTCATGAATAAAATAAAATGTATTTTTTATCTAAACTGCCTCTAAAAAACAAGTTTAGTTAGTCCTTATAATTGTATGTTTAATAATACATAAATAGTAGTGTAATAAACAGACAAGTCATTACATTCTCAGTTTATCAAAGCAGTGCATAATACAAATGATATCAAATTCACAGGTGTTGTGAGCAATGAAGCGTGACTAATCCTAACGGTTGTCTTACCCAGTTGAAAATCACGAGATAATCAGGACACACATTCAGTATACAAAACAGTTAATTAGGGTTTCTACAAATAATACATTTCCTATGTGTAAAAAACAGCCTGTCATGCGTTTACGCAATTACACCTATCGGAGTCGGGCATACCAAACATGAACTAATAATTAGGAAACACCTAATTATTGTTTTCATTAATAGATAAATAAGGATGCCTTGTGTATCACTCAGTATTTTTTAAACCAGATTCCAATTCAATAAGATTAAGATTCTCATAAGTCCTTTTCCTCATAACCTTTTCGGTCACTAGTACCCTTGTTTAGTTTTGTTAAAAAAATAAATAATCCAATATTTTAAATGGTTTTAATAAGGCCAATTTTTTTCCCATGATCTCGCTACACAAGACCAATTAATTACATTTGTGACAAAAATTGGCAGTCACCTGACTTGAGATCTGGTCACGTGATCGGACAAAATGGCCACTATATACCAGGGAAAACGGCAATTTTACATGAAATTTGATGACTGCTGACCACGTTACGCAGGTGACTGCTCAATAGAGTTACATTATATAGGAAAATTCATTGGGAGGAAATAAAATGACCGCATAGGACAGGTGACCGCTGGATAAAGGTGACCGCTATGACAAGTTTGACTGTATATATATATATCCGTCCCAGACACAATACAGTAAACTCAGATAAATAAATATGGCCAACAAGTGAAGGAAAAGTGTAGCTTTGGTAAAAGTTTAGTCGAAATTGGCTCAATGGTTCTGGAGAAGAAAATGAAATTGTGAAAAGTTAATGACAACGACAACAACAGACAATGGAAAAATTTTCATCGAAAAAGCTCACTTAGGCCTTTGGCTCAGATGAGCTAAAAAAAATTATACTGAAATCTAAATTGATGACTTCATATTTGCAAAAATAATATTAGGCAAATCCCTTAGACTTTCTGGTGTTCCTAATTTCTGAATCAGAATTAGTCCTGGGCATAAGGCATCACGAATTTGAACTCTCTAATGTGTATTTACAATCACACCTCATACGTTAGCCATAGGCATTCAGATTGAGGAATTTGAACCTCCATGTGTACGTTTATGATCAAACCTTACAGATTAGTCCTGGGTGTTGGGAATGAGGAACCTAAACCCCTCAGTGTGTGTTTAAGATCATACCTCGTAAGTCGGTCTATGAGGCATCATCATGCGTCCCATCCTCAGCTGGAAATTTCGGTTGAGGTTTATATTTGGCAGGTATGTAAACGCTGGTAGAGGGTGCGGATGTACTGGAGGAATCTGATGCTGAGAATACACAATCAGTGAACACTGGTAAAATATATGGTCATGTTTATGAGACACAAGAAATTCTGAATTCTTGTTTCTGTATTAGTATAAAGAGATAGAAACTGCACTTGTTTTATGGTTTGATTCTCTAACAAACTGTGACATAGATAGAACCTGTAAACAGAGCCTCTAAAATACAAACAGAAACTTCAAACTGATTCCTTAACATACTAGATAAATGCTGTAAGCAGAATCACTCCTAGAACCTGCTGAAAACCTTTTATAGGAAACAGTGACAGTGTGAAAAATCAACAATAATTCAGAATCATAGATTTTGGTGTTGTTCTCTTTTATTTTTCTAATCCTTATTTAAGCAGCAAACCTTTGCCTTAACTTTAGAAAGTAAATGCTTAATATACATGAGGGTATAACATGTAAAGCTACTTACAATAGGAGCAAAGTCTGAGGGCATCCCTGGAGCAATGGGGAAATGATGAATCCTTGGCGGATGATGATAATGATGAAGATGATGATGTAGATGCTGATGAGGAGGAGCTGGGTTCATCTGATGAGGAGGGCCTGGTGTAGGACCTGGGTTCATCTGGTTCTGACCACTGTAAAACGAGAAACAGAAGTCTCTGATGAGACTGTAGCTCTACTGGTGTGTACTTTTACTAAAGAAAGATATATCATATGCCCTGTTCACATCACTTAATTATTTGATTCCCAGTACAGTGAAACACACTTATAATGAAGTGCCAGGAACAGATGATTTTGCTTCGCTATAAGCATAATTTGTTATATCTGTTAGGTTTACAATATATATATAAAAGTCATGGGGAATGAAAATCATTTCGCAGTAAGTGTCAATTCGTTATAAGCATACATGTGATGAAAAAGAGGGAGATTTAGACCTCAAAAGAGGTAGAATTGCACGCGTTGCTTTAGGCATCGATTTAAGAAGATATATATGTAAATATTGCCTTAATTGACCACTGCAACAAGCATTCTGAGAGTATTGCATTAGCAATACTAGTCCCCTACCGGCAAGTGTAATCTGGTTCCTGTTAAGAATTGAAAATGCCATAATTCCATCAAAAATTAATGAAGCGGGACGAAATGCAAACTTGATCTATAACTAATCAAGGTAAAGCCACATACCAAAAATCAGCTCAATATCTGAAAGCGTTTAGAAGAAAATTGCGGAAAACCCCTAAAAATTGAAAAGGCCGTAATTCCGTCAAAAATCAGTGAAGCGGAACGAAATGCAAACTTGATCTGTAACTCATCAAGATACACTCACATACCAAAAATCAGCTCAATATCTGCAAGCGTTTAGGAGAAAAGTGCAGAAAACCAAGTGGGACAGACTGACAGACAGACAGAGGGACAGACAGACAGACAGACAGACGGACAGACAGACAGACAGACAGACGGATGGACAGACGGACGGACAGACTCAGAGGAAACCTATAGTCCCCTCCGGTTTCACCGGTAGGGGACTAATAATTAAACTCAAATATCAACTGCAATGAAGAAGACAAAAACAATTTTAACATAAATTATATATACAAATATAAATATTTTTCATATTGCTCATTATTTGGGCTTTGAATGGCTGCTTATTTAGCCTTTTGAAGAGTGATCTTTGTTGATATGGCCTAGCTGGAAGCAATAATTCTGAATGTTCATTCAATTGTCAAATACAGCAAATAATTACACTATTTAGCCTAATTCAGAATTAAAACTAGTGCTTATCTTTCATAAAAAAAATTGGATTTCCCGCAATGACTGAAAACGAAAGTAGAGATGCAAAAAAAGTATTATAAATGAATGTTGATTCCCTTTCTTACTTTACTCAATACTGAACAATGTCAAAGGTTTTCATCCACTTCTAGAATACTATATCTCCCTTTTTCTTGGCGGGGATGTCGACGAAATTCATCGTAACCAATGTAATCACCGAAAATTTGTGCACCTGTCATTGTCAAACACGTGTTTGAAATATGTGTAAACATCGGATAAAAAAAAGGTTAGAATGTTCCCAGTTCAAATCATGACGATATCTATCCAGATTTTATGATGAGATCAAAAATCGCTACCCACGCGACTCAAAAATGGATTTTGTAGAAAAGCTGTAGATTTACAAATAATAGCGGTAGGCGGGATATGGAATAAAAAAGCGGTAGACCTCCGCCTAAATAGTAGAGTTAACATGTATGTATAAGGGTGTACACTATAAGCCAGTTTTACTGTAAATTGATCTGAAGTAAAAGAATCAAATAAAACTAACGCAAATCGAATTGCATTCACACGACAGTTAATGCAAAGTAAACTAATGGGCATTATAACTTTATTTCTACATTAAGGCTATTCAGTAAGGCTATTATGATGTCATTTTCAAATCAAGTAACCTTATGTAGAACAGATTCATTTGACACAATGTCATAATATTTGTGCACATTTTTTAACATAGTTTTTTTTTTGGGGGGGGGGGGGGGGGGGTTTCATTCAAAAATAGTATAAGTACCTATATCTAACCACCAACATCTGGCACGTGACTTAATTTTGTCATTCATCATTATTTTGTCCTTTGAATTTGAATTAGCTTTGCTTAGCATTCATATGGAGCTAATGCGAAATAATTTGATCCACAGTAAATTTATTCAAATTAATTAATCTAATTCGCATTTAATTCTCCATGTGAATGCACTTCATGTTTAATTCACAGTAACATTTAATTCAAAATAAACTATCCGTGTGAACAGGACATTAGTGTAGTCTACTTTTGCTTACAAAGTCTACTCTGACCAAACTGTAGAAGTATTTGAAGAAATCTCTATTTTTAGTTACTAAGTAAAGTGGTGATCTGTTTTATGTCTTTTATGACCTTTTATGATCTTTATGTCTTATTATATAGGTTAAATTTTTGGTTACATCAATTTAATTTGTAAACTTGTTTGTATGATGATATCAAGATTTTATAATAGCACACCAAGGAATTGTATAATTTGTTTAGAGTTACAAAATTAGGTATCAACCTCTTAATTACAGCAAGCAGTCTTTACTCTTTCTTAAATGTCACGAATATGTTAAACAAAATATCTATGCTTTGTTGAAGGTGACCTTTTCAAAGATGTCTTACATTATCTGACCTATATAAACTCATCAAACAAACCACATCATATACCCAGTATGTAATCATTTGGCACACAATATATGGAATTCACCCTAAACAATCTTCAGTTTCTCAGCCCAAAAGTTCAATATATGACAGGCAGGTTTTTCTTTTTTTTTCTTTTCTCTTTTTCAGTTTACCTCTCTTTCTTTTGTCAACAGATGATGATACTCATCTTAGCCTTTTGTACTTCATATTATCTGATGCTTAATGATGCTAATAATGATGTGACTCAACTCTTATTTATTAGTGTGTAGATTAAATATCATTATAAAAAGCATTATACCGGGTATTTCATTGAAAATTGTTATTTTGTAAGTACGGGGGAAAAAGAAAATCATTTAATTTTTGTTTTCAACTTGAACAAGATGTGTTTGTGAAACACTGATACCCCCATATGGCAGCTCAGGTTTAAGTTTCTCAAATTCAAGTCAAACTCCAAGATCAAGGTCAAGAGATAAAAAATGTTGGTACCCAGAGAAAGGTCTTGTCACAAGGAATACACATGGTGAAATATGAAAGCCCTTGCAGCAACCACTCAGAAATTATGTTCAAGGTTAAAGTTTTTGAAAAATAGGTCAAATCCAAGCTGAAGTCATGAGGTAAAAAATGTTGGTACTTAAGGAAAGGTATTGTCATAAAAGCCCTAGTACCTACAATTCAAAAGTTTTGACCAATGGTTAGTTTTTCAAAAGTAGGTCAAACTCCAAGATCAAGAGGTCAAATATGTTGGTACTTTAAGAAAAGTCCTATCACAAGTATGAAACCTAGCTCCAACTGATCAAAAGATATTGGCAAAGTAAAAGTTTTTACTGATAAACAGACAGACAGACAGACGGACTTAGCAAAACTATACGCCCCAGAATCTTTTATTATGGGGGCATAAAAATAGAAAATTGATTTATTCCTCTTTTCAATATGTGAATAAAATTGATCAAAGCATGCAAAGACTGACCTAATGGAACAGTGCCTGAGAAAATATAGCTTAATTTTTTTCTTGGCCTTACATAGCAAGATGAAGGTTAATCTTACCAAGAAGTCGGCATAGCTTCTGGTGGGTGATGAGAATGGGGGTTAGGTGTAGCCCGCTGACTGGTGAAGGATGCCCCACATTGCCCGGGGGTCATCTGAGGCTGAGATCTGGGCCAATTCATCATTGGGGGAGGGGCACCATTTTGTAAACAGCTGGCAGAACTGATTGAATTGTGTTGAAACAAAGGCATTCCTACAAATTTATATAAATATGTACATTTAGAGGATAAAATACATGTACTTTATACTAATGGTAACAAAAAATTTCTTATTTGATATATTGGTACATGGCTACATGCTAATACATGTTTCTATGCAGTATTCATTGAGTATTTAGAGGAATTTCTTTACAATTTCATGAAATTTCCATTCAATTTTCATTTACTGGCAATTGATGTGCTTGTTTCACTCTTTAAGTCTACGAGACATAAGCCTAATAACAAGAGCTCACATGAGTTATATTAAAGAATATTTAAAGTACATGTACAGTGTATGTATAAAATCCCTTAATGCTCTTCCAAACAAATCTAAAAATTATGCATTCAGCCCTTTAAATAGTATGCACATGTTGATTCTTGCAAGTTAAATTAAAACATAAATTCAAATATGATGTCCTATCCTCTCTCCTTTAAAAGTTACCAGCAATGATAAAAGTTTTGAAAATGAGATCAAACTTCGAGGTCATGGGGTTAAAAATCAGAGCAATTTCAGAAACATCCTGTCACAGGCTACATGTCCTATCTCCTCTCATTCAAAAGTTCTAACCAATGATAAAAGTTTTAAAAAGTAGGTCAAACTTCAAGATCAGGAAATCAAAAATCATAGTGCATTTGGAAAGGTCTTGAAACAGGTAATGTACATGTAAAATAAAAGCTCTCTCTCTTCTCATTCAAAAGTTAAGACCAAGGATAAAGTAATGTTAATTTTTGAAATGTAGGTCAATCTTCAAGGTCATAGGGTCAAAAGTCATAGTTTATTTGGAAACATCTTGTAACAGGTAATGTACATGTGAAATTAGAAAGCTCTATTTTTCCTCATTCAAAAGTTATGACCAAGGTTAAAGCTTTTGCGACAGACAGATGGAATGACAATGAAATGAGATTTAATGTCCCTCACTTCCGTGAAAGCGGGGGACAAAAACACAGCACATTGTTCTCTGCTCTCTATTTCCTGATAGGAAGCTGAATTTTGTGTACTGACCCTCAATGTTCCTAGTTGACATATCAGGCATGGGTTGCTGTGGTAACAGGAAGGGCACCACTCCTGCAGGGAGGATCGGAGGGGGGTGGTAGTGGTGATGGTGTATGTGGGCTCTTGGCGGTTGTGGGGGTGGAGCTGGATGGTGCATATGAGGTGCCATTCCATGGGTACAGTTAGCTAGGAATAGAAAACATTCAGTTTAGTTGACAAGTCAAGGAAGTCTACTGCACATAACTGTATCCCAGACAAATTGGGATTAATTATAATCGATAAACAACTGAAATACTTGCAAATGTTCCACTTTAGCCCAGAAATACAATTTTAAATTTACAAGCAAAACTAATTTTTGGTATATGGAAAAAGAAAAGAGATATTTTCTTGGTTCAAAAATCTCACTTATCAAACTTAAATCTGAAGTCTGATGTTGGTTAAGCTGAAATCCATGATTGTAACATTGTACCTCCACAAGATCCTTGGGCTCCATGGGAATGACGCTGTAGATGAGGGTGAGGATGCATGCCACCATGGGAACGAGACAGGTGTCCTGGTAATGAAGAAGGGTGTCCATGGTTACTGTGACTGGCACCCATGTGGGCGTGTCCTGGGTGTGGCCCTGACATGTGACTAGGATGGCTGACATTCATATGGGGGTGACCATTCTCATGGAAAGCACAGCCTAGACGTTCTGAACAGGGAAGCATATGTGCTGGTGGATGCTGTAAATAAAATGTTTCAAATCACTGTTTATGAGACTTATTGCTGCATAAAAGGATGTGTTCATGTACAAACATTAGTATATACACTGCAGAATAACATTAATCCTCCCCCCCCCCCTCCAAATTATTATTCAGGTTTGAAATCAAACATTTTCAAAAACATTTCTTAATCTCCTTCTCTTCTCTTACCTGATTACATCCATGCCCACTGCAGGCCTGACCATGGTCATGAGATCGACACATAGGTGCCATGGGCATACCAAAGTTAGGATGCACATGAGCAGGTGGGGGCTGTCTGTACCCCCGGGAAATGGGCTGGAACATTGAGGTCTGTGGAGCAGGTGCCCCAGCACCGGACTCAGAGTTACCAGAATTACAGGGAAAACTGGCCGCAGCACTAGGTTGACGATTTTCCACTGGGGCAGGTTGGGATGTACGGGGCACATTGAAAGATGTGAAGTTGGATCGGCTATTTTCTTGGTCTGAAATACATAAGCAATTTAAAATCTTAAGTGGATTTTACTTTAATCAGTTAGTGATTTTACTGGTCTACCGTTTGAAATTAGTTACAATATCTAACAAACAAAAATTGGATATAATGTACTAATGTATACAAGTCTCATAGATCATATTTTTCATGTTCTGGACTTGAAATGTCATTAGGATCATCTATGACAATGTCTTCCATTATTAAGATGCAATGACCAGCTACAAATAATTCTATAAACATTAATTTTGTAAAACCTTGAGAAAACTTTACAAAAGACAGTCAAACTGTTCTTAATAGCTAAAACAAATTAAGTGAATTTCTTTCACCTGTAGAATCGAGTCATTCAAGGAAAGATGCAAACACTAATTTGCATTTTTCATCTACCTCAATATTCACTTTCATACTCTATATATTGTCTGAAGCATCTAAGTTTATCACCCACTCAGTTATATTATCAGCATTTCAAAGTAAAGAAAAGTTTCTAGAAAAGAGTAAAAAATTTCATATCTATCCATCTAAGAGAAATGATCTTACTAAATCAAGTTTCCCTTTATTTACTGAATTGAAAACACAGAGTATATCCACTGTTTATCAGAAGGAAGACAATATGAACGAGTTTGACTTACCGTCATCAGACTCTGTGAGATCTACTACAACTGTCGCTCTCCCTGTTGAATCCTGCATTGTACGAGCAAGTCTAAAAGTATACACAAAAATAACACAATAATTATGCTGTTAATATGCTTCTATCAATCTTAAATTGAAAATATATACAGGTAAACTTCGTTATCTAGACATCGACGGGACCATCGGAAAATGTCGAGATATCTGAGGTGTCGAGATATCAGAGTTGAGACTTGACGTCCAAGATTTCATTGCATACAAAACAGACAAGCTTATTGCAATGTATATGTACATGACTTCAATATACACTGTAGCTCAACATATTTCAGAATTCCCTCTATTTTTATTAAAAATCTAAGAAGTTATCTTAAAAATCTTCTTTATAAAACGTTTTTTATCGAAATCTTTCTAAATTCACAAAGTCACAGCATTCGCATGTAACTTGCCTTTTAGTCAGAACAGGATATGAAATGCGCTCTATAAACTTCGAACCGCATGAAGTCAACATCCGATATACAGAAAAAATTAAATGCGTATTTTTTTCTTATTTAATTCCGGAAGAATGTACATTAAAATTAATTTTTTAAAGAGATTTGTGTATTTAAACTAACGTAGTGATGTTACAGATGCATGAATTATGCCTGATTCTGTCAATTGTGTCCTTAATTGGATTGTTTCCTGTTGCATACATTTTAACTTCAAAAGATCATTAAAACATCTTTAATTCCTTACTTTGAATTATTCAGTGTGTTTGTTATTCATTGTAATTTAGTTACATTTTTCAAATTTAAAAGTTATGTTAGGTTTCGATATAAATAACCGTCTGTACATTTACGCAGAATCGTGTAGATTTAGCGATGATATTACCCAAGCTGAACATTAAGCAATTAACTTCTCGTAGACACCGAGGGGGCTTGGGATTCACATACAAACACAGTCTATAGAATTAATTAAGCAGCGTGCAGTCAAAACAAGGGTGTGAAAGGTGTGAAATTTTAAATTGACAACGTTGAGATACCTGGAGTCGTCCGTGCGTGACGAGCGACCCTATCTGACAAACAGTTAGGTTCAGTAGAGCAGAAAATTCATTATTGCCGATGTCGACATATACCAGGTAAATTTTGCTCTTGGGACTGAGAATATTTGTCAAGATAACCCGGGTTGTCGACATTACCGAGGTCGATATATCAGAGTTTTTGCAAATCATTTATATAGAAATTCTGCCGGGACCGTGGAAGGACGTCGACATATCCCAGGTTGTCGACATATCCGATGTCGAGATACCGAAGTTTACCTGTATTGATACATTTAGTTCTTTTACCTTTCCCCATTGTCCACTCGGATGACCTCCACATCACTGTCATCAGACTGATAGGATGTGCTATGGTCATCTGTGTCAAAGGGAAGAATGGGGGCAATGGGAGAGTGTCTCCTTTCTGCTCCCTCTCCTGTGCCCCTCTCTTCAAGGTCAGACTGGGTCAGGTCAATACTACCAAGCTCCTCCCCTTCACTGTCACTATGGAGAATGTTCACACTCCGACAACCTGCCACAGGGGCACCTGTCTCCTTTTCATATGTAACAGTGACAGGTCTCAGTAAATCACTGACCTCTCGACCCTCCCCCTCTGACCTGTGCTCCAGAACACTGACCGTTCCTGTCGCCCCCATCAACTGCTCCCTCTGAGGTTTGGATTCAGCCTGCAGTACATTTTGTCCATTCATTATTGCACTTGTGGAGTTATCCCTGGGGGTGGAGCTTGAAGACAGGGAATGGTCACAGAATGGGGAACTTCTGTCATTCAGTGTGTGGGCATGGGTGACCCTTGCACAGGAATGTCCACCTATCCTCTGATTCCTCCAATGACCACCTCTATGGTTTGGACAAGGATGACGATGCTTACTAGACCCTGCTGTAGACTTATGGCTAGTCTGATACGATCCTGCACAAAATCTAGAGTTACATGATATTGGATCAGCCTCTGTCTGCCTTTCATCATCTCCAACTTCAAGATTCATTTCCATTCTGTCCTCTAGACGAGCTCTTGGGTCACCTGTCTCAGCTCCTGGCAGAGTCTCTGGTCTTGGGAATGAAGTATTTGGAATTCCTAAAGTCACAGTCTCCATCTCAGAAAGGGGAGCCACTACAATATTGTCTCCATGGGGCTGCGATCCCACCCTCACTATGGCTGGTGGGGAGCAAACTCGCATCCCAGGGGACACCCTACCAGTGGGTACTGGGGGAACAATCTCCCTGGGAGCAGACCTCTCCCTAATTGAACTGTGGGTAGATGTGTGTGATGGATGACGTCCAACACGCCTGAACCCTCGCTCATGCTCACGTGGTGGCAGCACCTGTGTTCGGTAATCAAAGCCATTAAATGTGGTGGGTTGCTGATGAGTGGCTGGTGTAGGAAGGTTGAATAAGGCATATGGGTTGTGGGGGTTATACACATCATAAGGATTTGTCTCGTCTCCCCACGACCCAAAGGATCGTCTGATAAAGCTCGGTCTCCCGTTGTTGTCCTGAGACAGCATGTCACTACCTCCATCTGTGCAAATATATTACCAGATTTGTTTGAAAATTTCTGCATTTTCAAAAGACTTTTTATCAACTTTAAATTTCTAAATGAATTCTTATTGAAATCGAAAAAAAAACCTGTATAGTCATATGTTATGTTATAATTCAGTACTGAAAATATGGACCTTCATTGGTGCCCTGGGTAGACGGGTTACTATCCAAAGATTCATCTGAAGAAGAGCACATATCTACAGTGTTTCCGTGGTTGTTAGGTCGCTGCCATGGTGACGAATTACTTTCCTGGTCAGGGGAGAGATGAGACAGATGGTCCATGTAGGATCTGAAGTTGTCTGTCATGTTTCTGTCAACTGCCAAATCCACCCCTCCATCTATCAATAATGGCACATGGTAATGTACATATATCACATTATGATGATACGGGTATTCTGTGGTACATTGAGTACATACACATTGTTGGAGCATGACAAGTTAATTTTGTTTTTAAAGCTTGATATACAGTTAAACCTTCTTATCTCAACAGAAAATACAGAGATATCCAAAGATTCAAGATTAATACAAAGAAAATGTGATTGGGACTTCCATCTCACTTCGACACATTCTATTTACATTGATGTTCAAGATAAAGAAGTTCAACTCTATTTATACCTGGTACAGGTGTAGGATTAGAAGACATGGTTTCCATGGAAACAACATCACTGTCCTCATTCCAGCTGTCATCTTCTTCAGTGATTGCTTAATAAAAATGATATTATTAGTTATACAGGTCCAATCAATGGTGCATGGGGACTTGTAGAAAAATAAATGGACCAAATTAAAAAAAAAAAAAAACAGTCATGCTTTGTAAAATTTGACCTATGGCATACCTGAAAATCAGAAAGATTTTAATTGCTCTTATATGCTTTTATGTACTGATGTTCTGCATTTTGCTATCTATGTACATTCTTTAAAGCCTGTAGATGCAATGAGCACCATCCAAACTTACCAATGGTTTGTTCAGCTATGACCTCTGCTTGTACCTCTGTCTGTATCTGGAGGGGCCCACAAAGGGGACCATTTTCTACAAGCAGAGGTGAAGCTTCGTCCGCAAGGAGAGGAGAACCGGGCTTACTTCCTTCACTCTATAAGAAAACATGACATCAACATCCATCAACAGTTACAATGCATTCAATCCTCTACAAGCCAAGGAAACATTAAATACATGTGTACAGATGTAAGATACCTCAGTCTTAAGCTGGGAGAATGGATTCTCTTGGGCCCAGGAGGTTGATGGAGGGGCCTCAGGGGACAAAACAGCAGAGTCCATTGCACCTATAATACAAAGCAAGAAACTCAATGTCCAAATTCTATAAATAGAACTAATAAACTTTCTAATATATTTCCTTTCCATCAGTATTGACTTTATTTCTGATTTTTATGTTTATTATAGACGTAATCAGTTTAATTGCTGTTTAATTGGTACTGTAAATTATGAAACACTTTCTCTGTTTTGTTTTTTTTTTCAAGGTTCGTATTACATGTATGTTTTGAAAATAATAGAGGAAATTGAGAGTGAAGTTAATCATGTTAATAGGCCATTTTAATTGGGGATGAGCAGCTTCTGAGCAACGGGTTTATTTTTTGAAGAATCTTTTATTCTCAACTTAATATAACATTATAAAACATTACCAATAAATTAATGAGTATCACATCAATTACTTAACAGTTTCTTTTATTTCTTCATCTATACTAAAAGTTCAAGCATAATAAATAATAATCTAAACAGAAAAAATTCATGAAATTCAATAAAATCAAAGGAAATTACGAAAAATTAACTGACCAACATATAAAGAACAGATATTGAGCGAACGAGTTTTTGAGCGAACGGACTCTGGGCGAATGGCGTCAAGGGCGAACCCATTTTAGGGCAAACGAATAAATATTCATCAGTCATTGTAATAGTAATACAATAAAAAAAAAATATGTTTTCTTTTGTTGTTGGTCCATAGAAATTAAGTCAGGTCCACAGAGTTTGAAATAACAGTAAATGGATTGTCTATAGCACAGAAAAGTTAGTTTCATAGTAAATGAATTGTCTATAGTACAGAAAAGTTAGTTTCACAAATGCAGTTATCATTCCTTTGTTCTCTCTCTCTCTCTCATGTTCAGCGAATAGTGTGCATTCCAGTTCTTCAAAATCTAACTTTAGCAATTATCGAGCAGTCATGTTGTTGTTAAAACTGTAAAGTTATATCATTTTTTCTTCAAAATTTCAATATGACATACTTAAACATTATTGTAAGGCAAGTGACAGAGGATAATCGTGGAATATTTTATAATCTTCCTTGATGACACATTCCGTTTTTGCCCCCAAATAATACGGAATTTTGTGTAGATTCGCAGGACAATTTCGTCAGAATTTCTTCCCTTCTTAACAAATATGTACCAAAATAGATTCTCAATGGTCTAACAGCTATGTAAAAACCTACCGTTTGCTGTTATTTTGGTGGTATATATATTGTTTTTGTTTGCGAAAATCAATTTCCTGTGCTCTCCATTTTGACTGACTGTCTGAAGTGAAGAAAGACACGAATCTGATTGGTCAATAAAAATATATCAATGTCCAAAATATTTGTTATTCATTTTTTGTCCAATTTATAAATATCAGTATTTTAAAAAGAAAATAAAACCACAACACAAAACAGAATATTTCTTTTTTTTTAATTATCACGATACCTAAAGATAGGGACGCAGGGGGCGGATCCAGGAATTTTGTCCGGAAAATGGGGGGGGGGGGGGGTTCCACCAAGTTTTAAAAAAATCCAACTCAGAAATTGCTTGTCAAGCAATAAAAAGAAATAAAGAATTTTAACTGTATTTCAGAAAATACGTATTACTAGTCGACTATACTACTACTAGATACTGCTCCCAGCATAGTATCTCTCTCTCTCCTTACACTTGGCAAAAAATAAAGGGGACTCCAACTTCCGCCCCTCTCCTTCTAAATCCGCCAATGGGTAGTGTGTGTCCTCTAGTACATTACCCATAGGCGATAAGGTAAATAGATTTTTGTTGACTGCTCACAAATCTAACTGGAAAGTACACCCAAAAAAATTCATGTATGAATTCATAGATTTTTCATGTTATTTACAATATGAATTTAGGTCACGCAGGTGTCTTTTATTAATTTTCAATCTAAAATTGAAAATTATTACATTAATTCGTCATGTAATCATTTTCAACTTTAGATTGCAAATTACTAAATTAAACTGTTAAAACACAGAGGATATTAGAATTTTGTAAAAGACTGTGTATATAAGTGTGTACCTTTTTAAAATTCATTATCCCCAGGGGCGGAATCATCATTATATAATTATATGACATACATGTACGAGTATATCATAATTACATTTATCCAAATCATAACATATTTGGATCTTGATCCCTTCGCCTCAAATATATATATTTTTTACTTTGATTTGCCTTAACTTAAACATACAAGCCAATATCTTCGAAGCTATAGACAGTTTTTAAAATTGTATATGTTCATTCCTTTGTTTTGAAAAAAAAAAAAGGACGCAATCAAAAGGGAAAAGGCACGGATTTATTGATCGTGAGCACAAAGTTATACAACATTACTCATTGCTATGTCGATAGTGAAGATAAACGAGATATTTTAGAGTGAACTCTCCCTGGAGGAAATTTTTTACACTATGATTGATATACTTATACGTGTAATGATGCAACAGCTAGACAAAACTACGAACTTAATTAACACCAGGAGCTAGCTTAATTACTGCACAGGCCCCCTTTTAGCCATTTCATTTTCTTAAATTTTGAAAATATATAAAATGTTTACATCCTCAAACATCAGTTAATCAGTTGTGTAGAGATACTGTAACCATGCAATTCGGATCTCGTATTAGAAATTTTCATCAGAAATTTTAGGAAAGAAGAGATTGGTAGTATTGACTGGATCCTAAAAGAGAACGATTATATAAAGAATAACCGATTCAAACTATTTACCCCCACACACTGGCATGAGTAATTATACCAACATCTGGGATAACCATAAATCATAATGAGGCATATAACTACAGACACTTATCAATGACATATTATTGCGAGGTCACAAGTTAAGTCATTCGAATGCCGCCAAGATGAGGGGAGTTTTCGTTGTGTTATTTGGCTGTGGGTTTCTTCAGTTAGTTTCAAGCCAGTGCCGTACCATACAAAAGTCAAACGAAAACTGGGGTAAGGTTCTTTTATCTTTTTGGATGAACCGGGAATATATTGTCGATATTGCTTGTCCATGAAAGCATGCATGTATAACGTTCTCAACATATTTTATTAATTTCATATGGAAACCGAAATCGAAGTCCTCTGTGGATAGCAAAAATAATGTTACTAAGTATTCATTTCAGACAAAGTGTATTATAATGTTCCTATAATTCACAAATCAATGATTTCTTGAAAAGTAATCCCGCCTCGTTTTCTCTTTAAGGTTGTTTTTATAATGGGGAGGAGCTTGAGCCGGGGCAGTATTTCGAGGATCCTGATACCTGTGACGAGTGTACCTGTTTAGGTGGGGGATATCTGTCCTGCTGTGCGTAAGTAGACAGTTTTGGATCTCTCTCCCTCACACACAACACAAGGCATTGTATTCAAATACAAATTGTGAGATTTAAAAAAAAATATCCAATGAATGATATTCACTGGATATAGATGAGTTTATGTGATAAATGTGTATAATGTAAGAAGCAATAAACATGTTTAATATTACAAAAAATGCCCCTATGGCTTGAAAAATATATTTGAAAAGCCACTCGAAAATCAAGTTCCAGGTCATGTGATCATTTCGTTAAAAGCCCTTACACTCATATACATACAAAATAAAGGTATTACATTAAGCCTTGCTTTCAACGATCGTACAAAACTCTTTTAATAAAAAAGTCAAACGTCTATTAAAATTATGTTATTTTAATACATACAAAAACGGTATCCCTCATGGTTCAAAATGTTACGTACATGTATATCAACGGATTGTATAAAAATATACCTAAAAAGTACGTCAGCGGTGAAGTAGAAGATCAAAATCAGTAACTCTAGGATGTTCAAGCAATAGAATCGCTGAAGATCAAATTTCTACCTCTTTCCACTCAAGGTACACGAACAGCTATAGATAGACAGACAGACGGACAGACTGCGGAGCAGTTAGCACAAAATAGATCTGATTTTTGACCAATGTAAAGTAGAAACACCTATTCTTTATTTATCGTTGCTAATTAATTTTGTCCTGATTTTCCAGCAATGATGTGAACTTCAGTGATCTGTCTCCGGACTGTGTGGTCGTCAAGGAGGGGTGTAAAGCCGTGGCGGTGCTGAAGAGCGACAAATCCAAACTCTGTCCAGAGGTCGCCTTTACGGGCAGGAAATAGTGAAATCAGACAGTCTACAAATTCTACATCTGTATGAAGTACATATTTTGTAACAAATAAAGAGTTTATAATTGTGCATGCATGTGCAATGTTTATAATTAACTCAGATCTGAGTAGGCTAGCTTGTATATAATCTGTAGAGAATGAGTTCGATCACTGTATTGGCTATGTCAGTCAGAACCAAATATTTTCGGGGGGGGGGGGGGGAGGGGCTATCAAGCAGCATTCCTTGAAAAGCAAAAAAAAAAGGGGAATCAGACGTTATTATTGAGGGACACAAGCATAAAGTAGCTATGTCTTCTATATTATATTATATATCGGCAAAATTATTGGGGAGGGGGAGGGGGGCACGCCTTCGTACTTAATACGTGTGTGTGTGTGTGTGTGTGTGTGTGTGTGTGTGTGTGTGTGCTACAACATATGTAGTATTTCATCATTTATGAAATACTGTCAATAAAATTAAATTTTGGGAAGTCCAAAAATGACTTTAGTGTCATTACAATTCAGTAAGTGATGAAATTTGATAACATTTATAGGGTTCACAATAAAATAAAATATTAGGAGCAAGTAAAACAAAAAGCACATTCTATATGAAATGTAATGGACTTACTTTTTATGGAGGAACAAAGATCACAAAATTGGTCATTTTTGTCAACTCTTCAGAAACGATTACCGATTATTAATTAGTGGTTCATGCATCTAATCTTACATAAAGCCTTTCTCTCCGTTGGAAGATAAACTGAATATTCAATATACAATTTTCTAAATTTATATAACCCATAATTAAGGGTTTTTGACATAACTTCTAAAAAAACAAGATGTGTTTGTGAAACACTGATGCCCCCGTATGGCAGCTTATGTCGAAGGTTAAAGTTTCTCAAATGCAAGTCAAAATCCTGGCCAAAAGATAAAAAATGTTGATACCCAAAGAAAGATCTTGTCTCGAGGAAAACACCTGTGAAATTTGAAAGACCTAGATACAACTGTTCAAAAAGTTATGGCGAAGGTTAAAGTTTTTTAAATAAAAGTCAAACGTCAAGGTCAAGGTCAAAGTGGTTGATATCCAGAGGAAGGTCTTGTCACAAGGAATACACATGTAAAGTTTGAAATCCTAAGCACCAACTGTTCAAAAGTTATGGCCAAGGTTAAAGTTTTTCAAAAGTAGGTCAAAGTCCAAGGTCAAGGTCAAAAGGTCAAAGTTGTTGGTATCCAAAAGAAGGCCTTGTCACAAAGAATACACATGTGAAGTTTGAAACCCCAAGCTCCAACTGTTCAGAAGTTATGGCAAGGTTAAAGTCTCATAAAATTTTGCAAAAGTGGGTCAAACTCCAAGGTCAAGGTCAAAAGGTCAAATATGATGGTACCCAAAGAAAGGTCTTGTCACAAGGAATACACATGTGAAATATGAAAGTCATAGCTCCAACCAATCAAAAGTTATGGGCAAGGTTAAAGTTGACAACAGACAGACAGACAAACGGACAAACAGACAAACAAACAGACAAACAGACAGACAGGATAAAAACAATATACCCCCGGGATCTTTCGATCCGGGGGCATAAAAAATCTTGATATAACTCATGTCAGGAGTGACATACCATAATGCCACAATTAGAATCTAGACCTTGATCTTTGACCTTAAAATTGGCAAAAGATATGCATTGACCTCATTAATAAGGCTGTTATACTGATTGTAATATTCCGTGTCTAGATAAAAATAATTAAGGATGGAGGTATTTAATTATAAGAGTAAATATCGCACCAAGCTTTGTTAATATCTTTTCTGATCATGCGCCACTTACTTTTTGTCAGAAAAAACTAATTTTTTAAATACAAGTGTCGTATACACTGAAAATATCCAAATATCAAACAGATCCAGGATTTTGTCTAAATCAGTCAAATAGAAGAAGGTTCTGAACTTGAAGCTATTAGTACAGTAAGAGAAAATCAGGATGTATTTCTGTCATATGTTCATAATTCATTTAATACACAAGAGGAGGTAGATATTTGTGTGGAAAATTTCAGTAAGATATTGTGTGATATTATGACCCCCTTTTGTAAGGTCACTGACGGTCTGATATATACAGAAAGGAAAATAAATTATGACAAACCCTGGTTTAATGATATCTGCAAGTCTAAATATCAAGATTACAAAGAAAGTCTACACATATTTAATACAAATAAATCTACTGTTAATAGAAACGCACTTTGTGACAAGAAATGTGATTACAAAAAATCCATAAAGAAGTTTAAGCACATTTATGAACGATACCAGAGAAATAACATGAAATATTTAAGAAAGTATAATCCAAGGCAATTCTTCAAGTTATTTAAGAATAAGAAAAAAAAATAGGTAATGATATAACAGCAGATCAATTTTTTGAACATTTTAAGAGTGTTTTTGAGAACAAGAACGAATCTAAAAATATTGATGACAGTGTTGAACAGCACGCAGTATCTTGCTATGAGGAATTAGATATTCGTATATCTGAATTAGAAGTAGAGAAAGCAATTTTGAAACTTAAGTGTAATAAGAGTAATGCAGATGATGGTGTAATTAACGAATTTTTTATTAAATGTAAAGAAGTTATGATTCCTATTCTATGTAAACTATTTAACAATATTTTTGATTCGGGTTTGTATCCAGATAGTTGGTCAAAGGGATGTATTGTACCAATCTTTAAAAAGGGCGAATTACATGACCCAAATAATTATAGAGGTATAACTTTGGTTAGTTGTTTAGCAAAATTGTTTACGTGTGTTCTGAATAAAAGATTGTTAGAATGGGACCAAAAATATAATATCATTACAGACGCTCAGTTTGGTTTTAAGCCAGGTGCAAGTACAATTGACGCTATATTTATTCTACAAAGTTTAATTAGCAGGACATTGAGAAACTAAAAGAGATTATACTGTTGCTTTGTAGATTATTCAAAGGCTTTTGATTTAATTGACAGATCTAAGTTATGGTACAAGATACAAACAGAGGGTATACAAGGAAAAATGTTATGTATTATTAAGTCTCTATATAAGAATGTTAGAGCCTGTATAAAACACCAAGGAATATTGACAGACACATTTTGTATTTCTGCCGGTGTTCTGCAAGGGGAAATATTATCACCTGTATTATTTTCCATGTATCTGAACGATTTTGAACGGCATTTTATTGAAAATAATTGTGCTTCAGTTGAACTCCAACTGATTAATTTGTTTCTAATTATGTACGCAGATGACACAGTCCTATAATAGCGGAATCAGTTGAAAGTTTACAAGAAATGTTAAACACTCTTTGTAGCTATACAAAAGAATGGAATTTAACTGTAAATGTACAAAAAACAAAAATTGTATTTTTTAGAAATGGAAAGTATGTAAAAAATGAAGAAAAATGGAAATATTATGGTAACAATGTGGAAGTTGTGAATCAATTTGACTATTTAGGAATGTTATTTAACTATAATGGTAAATTTTCATCCACACAGAAACATTGTGCAACACAAGGTAACAAGGCAATGTTTAGTATTTATAGTAAAATGAAAGATTTTAATTTCAATGTTGAGACTCAGATTAATGTGTTTGATACTTATGTTAAAAGTGTGTTATGTCATGGAGCTGAAATATGGGGGTTTCATAAAGGTCAAGATGTTGAAAGAGTGCATATTAATTTTTGTAAAAGAATACTTGGTGTAAGAAAAAATACTTGCAATAGTGCTGTTTATTATGAGTTAGGTAGAATACCACTAGATACATATAGAAAGCGCAGAATACTACAATATTGGTTAAAATTAAGAAAAAGTAATAATTGTATATTGAGTGCATGTTATCAAGATATGGAAAATAAAGACCCCTGGATTATGAGTATAAAAAATGAAATGTACACTCTAGGTTTGGGTGACTTGTACCATAGTAATCAAAAAGATAGTATTATATTAGACATAACATACATTAGAATGTGTGATGTTTTTAAAGAAAAAGCTGTATCTGATATATGTAGATCACCAAAATGCATGTTATATAAGCATTTAGTTGACTATTTTTGTTTGCAAGGTTATTTAAAGAAACCCATACATGTAAAATACAGAAAAGCAATTACATGTTTTAGACTCTCAGCACATAATTTAAAGATAGAAACGGGAAGGTATGATAAGTTAATAAGAAGTAATAGGAAATAAGATTTATGTAATTTAAATGATATTGAAGATGAATTTCATTTTTTATTCATTTGTCCAGTTTTTCATGATTTAAGAGACCAATTCATCAAACATTACTACTCCCGAAGACCAAGTGTCTTTAAACTAATACAACTATTTTGTAGTACAAATACCAAAGATGTAAATCAGTTAGGGAAATATATATATCATGCTAATAAATTACAATTAGAATGTTTAAAACAATTAGCTAAATAATAGAATGTATGTATCACAAGTTTGTAAGTGTATATCATGATATTGTACTATGTATGTAACTGATAAATATATTATATTGTACTGTAATGCCTATGGGATGTACGTCCCACGGAATAAAGAACTGAACTAGTCAAATGTTAAGGGGTAAAAATTTTAATTGTTTAATTATTTTTCTAAATTTTGACAAATTAAGTAAATAATTGACTCGAAAGTAGAATCAGTAACTTTTGGTTCTGTTGTCACTTTTGGGTTAATTGAGAAAAGATGTTACGGAATTTATATTTTTCTGTGGCTTGATATGATTCGTATGAAAAGGTTTATTTTCCCTTTAAAGAGTATATAGAAAAAAACAACATTTCAATAATCCATGCAATAAACTGGGATCTCCTATGAAAATTTAAAGGTTTGAATGCTATTAAACTTAATATATCAACAACATGTAGTTATTGTATACTTCTCACGTGTATGTATAAAGTGTGTATACCTCTAACTGGAAATTCCCATATGATAAGTCCTTTCCACGCATCACGATATGGCGGATACTTATATAATTAATTATGAAGAATTGCTACATAAAAATATTAACACCTTTATTCAATTCACGTTATTGACAATTACCATGTCGGCATACAGTCACGAACATTAATAATATAAAACAAATTAAAACGATTGATAC